TCTGCCCCTGTCCGTGACAACCCCGGGACGGGCTCTGTGGGATCAGAGCCCACGCTCCCACCTCAGTCGCCTTGTAAGGTAGAAAAATGTCAAACACTGTGTTGTACACCTGAAACTGACATAGGATTGTATGCCAATCATACTTTAATGGAAAAATTTAAATTAGAGTAAGTATAATCATTAAAAAAGAAGAAAAAAGGAATTTGGGCTCTGTCCTGTCGACTTCGAGAGGGCCGAAGGGTGTAGTTTCCATTAGTCATCGGAGGGCAGAAGTGACTGTCATCGGAGAGCAGATTTCACTTCCTGTTATGGGCTTTGGGAAGTGTGGAGGGGAGAAACCTTCGTGAGAGTGGCTATACTGAGAATGGACAGGAACGGCCGTGTGGGCGGGGGCTGCGGGAGATGAGGAAGAAGGGAGGGCTCTGGGAGCCGGCCATTTCTCAGGAAGACAGGCAGGTAGCGTTGTTTGCAGGTGGGTTTTCCCCCCGTTTTTTCCTGCTTCGCTTCAGTGTGTGGAGGACGAAATCTCTGCCCCAACCCAACACTTCATTCTCTTTCCGCCACTACAGCACCATAGGGAGGGCGAGGATGGGGACCGTGGCTGCCGTTTCCCACTGGAGGAATACGAGATTTGGCTGCATGCAAATCGCCCTGTATATAATCCTCCATGGCTCCCTACTGCCCACGGCCGTAGCTCCTAACCAGGGGGGCCCAGCAAGGTAACGCAGGGGCTGTCACAGCCTCGGGGCACCCATCGTAGCTGCTGCCACTTCTTGAGCAGCTATGTATATAAATAGCTTTTTAACCACATCGCTTATTGCCAAATAACTTATTTAACCACCACGACAGGTTTTTAGGACCCCCTATTTTACAGATAAGAAAAAGAAGGTGAGAGACTCTATACAAGTGGTTTAGGGTCACCAGCTATTAATTGGTGAAACTGGAGTTTGAACCAGGGAAGTCACACTCGGAAGCTCCCACCCCTACCCCACTGTTCCCAACCTCCTTCTCTCTCCTCTCCTCCTCTCTCTCTGTCCACCCCACCCCCCGACTTCTCTTTCCTCCCTCCCTCCTTCCCACACCACTTTCTGCCTCCCTTTCTTTCTCTGTTTCTCTCCACCCCCTAGCCTCCAGGTTCCTACACCAGGTCCTTGGGACAAAGCTTCACATCTGAAATTGTAAAAGCTTCAGATCGTTTAGCGTGAGCATCCCCAGGTAGGACACACTGCCGGGTTCCTATTTTGCTGGCAAGAGTGCTGGATAACATTTGGCAATAGCCCCCCAAACCACAAGTGGGCATGGCCTTGGACCCAGCTTCAAGGAACGTGTGGAACCGATGTTGTCATACGTGTGGGAAATGGCAGGGACGTGGCTACTTAGGGCAGCACCCTCTGTAAGCGCACAGGTTGGAAACACCTTAAAGGCCCATCCACTGAGGAAGGGTTCAAAATGTATGGTGTGTTCATGCCATGGAATGTTACTCGGCCATGAGCGAATGAATGAATGAGGCAACTTGCTACATCCTTTTGTGGAAAGATCACCAAGTTATGTTGCTAAGTAAGAAGAACAATGCTACTGTTTATTTTCCACAGTGGGATAGAAGAGTAAGGAAGTTGGAACCAGAAGTTAGAAAACCACGGATGGACTCCAAGGAACTTATATTCATTCGCTTACTTATTCTTTCAGTAGATATTTCAGCCCTTGAGTGAAGAAAAATGTCTAGAACCAGCCCCAACCCTTGAAGAATATAGATCTTGCCTGGGAGGCCCAGAGAAACAAGCAGATATGTCCAAAACCAAACTTGCTGCTACTGCCACACACCCATTTCGATCGAAGGGACCCCCTTCTCCCCTCAGGCCAGAGCCTGGCGTCGTGGGTAAGAAACAGAGGTAACCCCATGCCCCACATCCAGGCTGTAAGCCACGCCCCGGAACCCAGCCACTTCTCACCTCCCTGCCACCACCCTGAAATGAGCCTCCATCACCTCCGTCCGAGGCCATTGCAGTCACTTCCCAACTGACCGCAACCGTCACCCTCCCCACCCCCGGCCTGTTCCCCACATGGGGATCCTGTTGAAACACAAGACCAATCACACCTCAGCACAGAACCCTCTCAAGTCTTGTCATCCCCACGAAATGTCTCTCTCCACGGCCCACTAGGTCCAATAATATCTGGCCCCTTCATACTTCTTTGAACTAGTTCTTTTAGCCTTTCCATTCTAGCCACACCGGCCCCTTGGCTGGTCCTGGAGCCATCAAACAGGTTTCTGCCTCAGGGCCTTTGCACTTGCCCTTTCCTGTGCCAGAAATACCCCAGTCATTTGTGGAGCTGACTTCACTTAGGTCTCTGCTTAAACTCACCAGCCCGGAGATGATTTTTCTGTCAGTCAGCTTTCATTAGATTTTGCTGCAATAAGAAATCACCCCCAAATCTTGGTGGCTTGCATCATCAATTTCTCACTCACAAAACACATTGACCCCAGATCAGCTGTAGCTCATCACACATTGTCTTCATCCTGGGATCCTGGCAGAAGGAGCAGCCCCACCTGAGACAGGCTGTTAGGGTGACTGGAGTGAAAAAATCAGGCCACAGCTTTAAAACATCTGCTCAGGGCCTGGCCATGTAGCTCATTCGGTTGGAGCATTGTCCTGATATGCCCGGGTTGTGGGTTCAATCCCTAATCAGGGCACACACAAGGCTCAACCACTGAATACATAAGTAAGTAGAACAACAAGGTGTCTTTTTCTCTCTCAAATCAATAAATTTTTTAAAAATTATAAAAGATAAAAATAAAAAATAAAACATCTGCTCAGAGCCAGCTTGCCTTGTCCCCTCCAAATGCAAGTCAAAGGCGAAACCTAGTTCAAAGGCTCCCACCTGCTACAGGAATCACTAATGCTGGGAGGTGCGAGGTATTTATTTATACCTTGGGAAGGGGAGACTGGACGGAGGGGGTTCAAAGTGTTGGGCAGCCACAAAGGAGGGATTTTGAAGAAATTCTTCCTCGTCTCCTTACCCTTTTTTTTTTAAGATTTTATTTATTTATTTTTAGGGATGGGGAAGGGACAGAGAAAAATAGGGAGAGAAACATCAATCGCTTGCCTCTTGCATGTACACTAACCAAGGATCAGGCCCACAACCCAGGCATGCACCCTGACCAAGACTCGAACCAGCGACCTTTCGCATTGTGGAACGACGTTCAACCTAGTGAGCCATGCCAGTCAGGGCTCCTTACCCTCTCTTATTTTTCTTCATAGCTTTTACCATCCCCTGGTATAGTACCTGTCTACTTTGTTTTATCTTTCTCTCCCCAACTCCCATCCGGCAGGGGAGCTCCAGGGGAACAGGACCTTCACTTTAGCATTGAGCACATAGTAGGTGCTCAATAAATATGTATTAATCAAATGAATCCAAGGAGAAAAGGGCCATGGTGGGGATCCCAAGGAGCTGTGGAACCAGAGGAGGGTGGTTTCAGTAAGAACCCGGAACACCCCTCATGGCTCAGGGGTCAGGAGGGGCCAGGGGAGTGGCTGTCAAGGGAACCGGACAAGTTGTTGGCCCAACCCGCCCATTCCGACTGGCACTAGCTTCCCTTCCTCACATCCTCACCCAATTTCATCCAGACCTGAAACAAGACATTTTATTGAATGCAGCAATTTTGACAGCATGGATCCTATGGCCTGCCCAAGTATTTATTGACCAACCTTTTTTTTTTTTTGCCACTGAGGGCCCTCCCTCTTCCACTGACCCTCACCACATCCGAGCCCTATCCCTGAGGCCCTTCCTCTCCTTGACCCCACCTCTGATTCCACCCCTGATCCCCAGCCCTTGATCCCACTTCTGAGCTTCAGCGGCTGACAGCCTGTGTCGTTCCCACTGTGTAGAACTGTTCAGGACCAAGGCTCCGAGGGTTTGTTTTCAGGCAGAGGCTCTGCTGGAGTCACCAAGGAGTCACACGGATGCCCAGGGCAGGGCGGGCGGTGGGGGGAGGAGGGATGCAGTGTATGGCGTGTGTGTGTCAGGCCCCAGATCTGGAGCCCTAAGTCAGCGGGGCAGGGGACAGCCTCTGACTGTCCAGAGTGCTGAGAGAAGGCTGCTGGAGCCACCATGCTGGGGGCTGCGGTAGCTTCCTGGTGTTAATCTGTGAATGGTCTGTTTCCCTCCAGGATAATGGGAGCTCCATAAAGGCGGGAATTTGGGGCTGTATTATTTCTGGCACATCCCTATGCCTGGAATAATACCTTCCTCAATAAACATTTTTTTTTTTTTTAGTTTTTTTATTGTGGTAAAATACACATAATGTAAAATGTAACATCTTCACCGTTTTAAGTGCACAGTTCAGTGGCATTAAGCACATTCACACTGGGTGCGCAACCCTCACCACCGTCCACCCCCCAGAGCTCTTTTCATCTTGCAAAACAGAGACTTTATATCCATTAAACACTAACTCCCCATCCCCGCTCCACCAGCTCCTGGCAACCACCTCAATAAAAGTATGCTGATCTCTCGCTAACATTGGTATTTGATGATAACTGTAAAGCATCAATAATACTTGTTATTGTTAGAGTTGCTTAAGTCTTAAAAACCCTCCTAGAAGGAAACTGAGGCCCCCAAGAGGAGAAGCAACTTGCCCTGGAGTCCGTGGGCGCAGTGGGGTGGGGAGGAGGTTAAATGGGTTGGTTGAGAACTCAGGACCCGACCGACTGTAGGTGTGACTCTCACTTCTGTCACTTTCCAGCCAAGAGCCGCAGAAAGTCCCTGAATCTCTCGGCCGCCTGGGCCTTCACCCTGTCAAGTGGGGATCCGCTATTCCCAGGATCGCCTAGGACTGTGCGTAGTTGAAAGGCGGAGCCAGTGGGAATTGTCCCTCCCAGAAACTTCTGAGCCGCCCCGCCCGCCCCTTGGGCTGCGGGGGCGGGTCCCAGAAAAATCTAACGCCCGCATGTGGAGGAAGTCCGGAGCCGCAGCGCTCCGAAGCGCGTGGAGGTGTTCTCCGCACCATGGGTGGTGTCGCTGGGCCGCCGCTGCTGCGGCTGCCGCTGCTGCTGCTGCTGTCGTGTTCCTGGGGGTCCGCCACAGCCGGTGAGTTCCCGCGGTCCGCGGGCCCCGCTCCCCCTGTCCCCCTCCCACGTCCCTCCCCACCTGCCCGGGCGCTCAGTCCCACTTCGTTCCAAGAGTCAGAGGATCCTGGTTCCCAGAAAGCGGTCGGTTTCCCGGAACGTAGCTCAGTCTCCAGGTGACTCAGTCTCCAGGGAGACTCAGCGGAGATCCAGCCCGGGCTGCTCACGACTCCTGACAGAGGTCTAATGGAGAACAGGGGGTCGGGTCGGTCCCTTTCTGACCTCAACTGTCAGGCTGTAAAGGCGTGGCCATTCATTCATTCTTTTTTATCCCCCTAATCCTCACCCGAGATGTCTTTATTGATTGGGGGGGCGGGGGGGGGGGGGCGGAGAGAGTGAGAGAGAGAGAATCCCAGTCAGGGATCAAACCCACAACCTAGGTCTGTGTCCCGAGCAGGGATGGAGCCCACAACCTTTCGGTACACGGGAGAACACTCCAAACAACTGAGCCACCCGGCCAGGGTTATTCGATCATTCTTGCACACATTCAGCCCGCTCAGGGTTATTGAGCACCTACTATGTGCCAGAAGGTTTCCAAGTACCAGGGATGCAGTTTTGAAATCAGACAGCCCTAGGTTCAAAACACCTTTAGGCCTTAATATCTGTGTGAGCCCAGGAAAGTTACCCAAGCTCTGTTGGCATAAAATGTGTGGGGGGTGGGAATCCCCACCTGGTGAGCTCATGTCTAGGGGGATGCTGAGCAATGTTGAAGGCACTCCATACAAACAATAATGAGGAAAATGACAATTCATGAGAACAATATTAATACTGAATCTAAACACAGGGAGGCCAGAGTCCCTCACCTCAGCATTTCCTAAAAGTCGATTCACGGAACACTGAACACTGCTCCAGAAAAGAGGGTGACAAGGCTTGAGTTGTTCACGGAGAGCCACCTTCAGGAGAAACCCAGCACTGGTCCTATTGTGACCCCATTTTCAGATGAGGAGACTGAGGCACAGAGAGGGGAAGTAACTCGCCCAAAGCAGCCAGCGGGAAGTGACAGAAACAATGAGTGAATTGAAACAGTGGCCAGAGGCCCCTCTACTAGGGCAGGAGAGCCCAGTGCCCAGGGGCGTGGGCGCAGGCCAGGCCAGGGTCTGAACCCAGGCTCTGCCCCTTATTTGCTGGTTAGCCCAGGCGAGTGGCTTGCCCCTCAAAGGCTCACTTGCCCCCTCTGTCCAACGTGATGAAAATACTAGCACATATTTCTTGGGGCCGTGGAGAGGGTTGGAAGAGGCCACGCTTAAGGGAGCAGCCAGTACCTGGCTCAAGTGTGACGATTACACAGGAACACGCTGAACGAAAGGCCACTCACCCAATTTCATCCTCATGGCAGCCTCGTTAAGGGGGAGACCTTACCGTAACTCTGGTGGAGGAAGTCACCAGAGAAGGAGACTCACTTGCCCAGAATGGCACAGCACGTCAGCGGTGGAGCTGGCATTCAAACCCAGACCAGCATGCTGGCCAGGCTGCGATTCCCGCGTCCCAGCTGTGCCCTCCCTCCACACAGCAGCCCCGCCCACAACCTCCCAGCTTCCTCTCCCTCCTAATAACAAGAATTATAATATTCACCTTTAGCATGCTTGGCATTGCTAATCCCTTTACAGAGATTTCATCATTTAGTTCTCCCAACAACCCTATGTTATAGGCATCCCCATTTTACAGATGAGGAAACTGAGGCTCAGAGGAGTGAAACCACCTAAACAAAGGGCCACAGCTAGTGAGCGGCAGGACTAGGGTTCCAAAAACTTAACCCTCTCCCTTCCCCTCTTCTCCATTATCCTTGTTACTGTTAATATGAATGCATAGCATGTGTTTCTTAATATCAGTAAGAGCTGTAATGTGCTGAGGACCTATTGTATGCTGGGGCCTCTAGCAGAAAGATTTTCATATGGAACCTGGTGGCTTGGAGGGACCCTTGACTGCAAATGGCCCAGGTTCAAATCCCACCCCTGCCACTTACTCTCTGTGTGGCCTGGAGCAAATGCCTCTGTACCTCAGTTTCCCCATCTGTAAAGGGGGACTGACAGTAGGACTTGCCTCCAGGAGCTCTTGAAGGACTAAATGCTGAGAGATGTGTATTCCTCAGAACAGCCGCTGATCTGTGTGAGCAACCTGTGGTGTTAACTCTTGTTAGTCCCATTTCACCAACTAGGGGAAAGAATCAGAGAGGTTAAGTAACCTGCCTGAAGCCTCACAGCAGAGATCTGAATGGATCCAAAGCTCTTGGGCTATAATCGCCTCCCTTTCTTGTGCCAGGATCCCGTACAAACATTCGCCCAGACCAGATCCACACAGAGCAATAATATAATAATAATAATAATAATACCACCACAGTTCTTATAGGTTCTAAGACCTAGAGTTCCTTCCCCTTTTTACTTCTCTAAATCAGAGATGCTCTTGACATTGAGTCCTGCTGTAAGTGACAGCGTCACTTAAAGTTACATCTTAAAATTGATGACGTGGGGGTGACGAAAATGTCCTGAAACTAGGTAGCTGTGATGGTTACACAACACCCTGAATGTAACTAATGCCACTAAACTGTACACCTTAAAATGGTTTCAACTGCAAATTTAATTTTTTAACCACAATTTTAAAAATCAGTGATGCAGGGATCAAGCCACTTATAGTAATAGCTAACAAATACAGTAGTAATAGACCAGCAAAGGGGCGCCCATCTCGGGGCAGACCCAGTCCATCCGCTCTCAACTCTCACCGGCGCCAGGATGGGGACTGGACCCCCCCCGCCCCCCCGCCCACACACACACACTCACTCACTCACTCACTCACTCCCTCCCGCAAGGGACCCTAGGCCCCAGGCGAGTGGTCTTCTGGGCGCCCCTCCCCAACCAGACCTGGGTGCCCAGGTCGGACCCGCGCCCCACCCCAACCCCGTTCCCCCCCCCCACCCCAGAGGCAGAGACCGGGTCCTTCGAGGTGCTGGTGCTCCCCACGGTAAGCGGCATCCGGAACGACAACGTGACCCTGCAGTGTAAAGTGCAGACGCAGAAGGACGACCTGCAAGTGACGCTGGCGACGTGGCAGCGGCAGGACCCCACGGGGGCCCAAAGCGTGGCTGTCTTCCATCCGACCCAGGGCAGCAGCTTCCCGCCACACCCCAGCATTCCCGAGTCCGGGCGGCTGCAGTTCGTGGCCGCCAGACCTGGCGAGAAGCTGCGGGACGCATCGCTCATGGTGCGGGGGTTGCGCGCCGGAGACGAGGCCAACTACACCTGCCATATCGCCACGTTCCCGCATGGTAGCAAGAGCGCCCGCACCTGGCTCCGTGTACTGGGTGAGCCGGGAGGGAGGGGACGAAAGGAGGGGCGTGGGGTTGCGTGGGGGGGAGGGCGGTAAGCAGAGTGTAGAAGTCCCAGGAGGGAGTGATGCCCTCCAGAGCAGAGATCCTGTGGGGACAAAAGTAGGCGGAGCCTGGGAAGCGGGAGGACTGGGTTTGTAGGCCACACTGGTGGCTTGGGCAGGTGGCTTCCGAGTGCTCTCCTCAGCAAGCTGTCCAGAGGACGGCGGGAGTTTATCCAGGTGACCCGTTTAGAACAGAGGTCCGTGTGAGCCCCCGGTAGCTGCCAGCAGTTGTCACTCCCGAGTTTAGAAGGGATTGTTGAAAGGACTGGCTGGAAGGGAAGGAGCTGCTTTTCCCAGCGGGACCCCGGCGCCCTCTAGCGTTGCCGTGGGGTCATTGGTTCATTTTCCTCAGCACTAGGAAGAAGAGGGCAGGTCTTCTTGGAAATAGAATAAATCTGTGCGCCTCAGTTTTCTCATCTGTGAAGCAGATATTGCTATGAGTATGAATAAGAGCTGACATTTACTCCTCACTTACGTGTCAGGGACTGTTCCAGGTTTTGCCAGAGTGACTCATGACAGGGCAAGTGCTTGGAGCAGGGCCTGCCGGGTACACAGCGCCCGAGCAAACAAACAGCTCTGGCCGTGGCAGCCAGCTTGGGACTGCAGGTCTTACGGTTTAGGATGAGGGTAAAACAAAACCACCAGTGAGTCAAATTAAAGAGAAATCTTCAGGAAGTAATAACCCAGGTAACGATGGGGAAGGAGCCAAGTGAAGCCCCACGTTTGGGAATAACCAGAATGATAATTAAGAGACAGACCTAGAGTGAAAGGCCAGCTCTGCCACTTACAGCCTCGAGCCAGTCACTTCCCGTCTTAACCTCCAAAGCACAGCCCCGCCCTCCCTTCCTCCACAAAGCCCTCTGTGGCCACGCCCGCCCAGGCACCCCTCTGGGCTCCCCCATCTCAGCCTTACCCACTGTGGGTCACTATTCGAGGAAGCGCCTGTCTTCCCTTTGGACTGGACGAGCCACGAAGGCAGGGGTGGGGCTGTCTGAGTCCTTGCTGGGTCCCCAACATGGCATGTGACAGAGCCAGGCAATGTCTTCAAGTACCGATAACAATAACATTCATCGAGCACTTACTATGTGCCAAGTACCACTGTAAGAGCTTTGCCTGCATCGTCTCATTGCCTGTGGTGCTGTCATCATCCCTAGTTGGCAGACAAGGAAACTGAGGCACAGACTTGCCCAAGCCCCCGCAACTGCTCAGGGCCAGAGCTGGGATTTGAACCTGACTGTCCTATATCCTCAGTTAACCACCTTCCTCTGCTACCGACAAGTTTGTTATTAAACGATTGAAGGTGAGAAATGACCTGTCCCTTTTGCTCCTCTCCCCAGCCAAGCCCCAGAACAAGGCTGAGATCCAGAAGGTTCCGCTCAGCCCGCTCGGCGCGGAGCCTGTGCCTGTGGCCCGCTGCGTCTCCACGGCAGGTCTCCCACCTGCCCAGATCTCCTGGTCCTTGAATGGGAAGGTCACTAAGAGCCAGGAGCCTGGACCCCTGCCTCGCACATTCACCGTTACCAGCCTCTTAGCCTTAACACCCTCGAGCCAGGTGGACGGCAAAAATGTCAGCTGCATAGTGGAGCACGAGACCTTTGAGGAGCCCGTCCTGCTGCCTGTGACCCTCTCTGTGTCCTGTGAGTGTGCTCAAGTATGAGCGGGCGTGGGAACCACTGCCCCCAAACAACACGCTTCTTCATGAGCTACACCAACTTCTTAGGCCACAGTCCACACTGCTCCCCTGGGGGTCTACCCTGACTCCCCTGGCCACTGTCTACACTGACACCCACCCTGTCTACACTGGCTCCCTGGAGCACCGTCTCCACACACCGTCTACACCTGTCCCATTGGCCTTGGCCAGGAGACTGCAGTTTCCCTACTGATCACGTTTGGGACAGATAAGCAGCAGGCTGAAGCGGGACCATCCAGGATCCTTTCCTGCAGGACTAGTCAGAGCCTTGAATACATCCTGTGCGCCGTAAGCGTCCAAGAGGCCTGTTCTCACAAGGCTTCCCAGCACGCCAGGACCTGGCTCCCCCCGAGAAATGAGTAGAAGCTGGTCCTGAGAAGCCCTCTCTGTACTCTGCTGCCTCCCACTTAGCTCAGGACTCCCAGGCTTCTGCGCGGGAACCCACTGTCCCAGGCTCCTCACAGGCCTCTCCGCCTGGGCTGTCCCCAAAACCCACTGAGGCTTTTTCCTCTTCTGGAGTGAATCTCACAGATCTTTAGCGCCCTCTGTAAGCTCCCTGTCTCTGAGCTTGTGTGTCTATTTCTCCCAGACCCCCCCGAGGTCTCCATCTCCGGTTATGATGGCAACTGGTACCTCGGCCGCAGTGAAGCCACCCTGAACTGTGACGTCCGCAGCAACCCAGAGCCCACACGCTATGACTGGAGCACGTGAGTCCTGGGTGGGCCTGGACTCACGGGTCTGAGGGAGGAGGGGCTGGGGACCTGGATTCATGGGTCTGAGGGAGGGGAAGATACAGAAGAGTAACAAAAGAGCAAAAGACTTGGGACCCTGAGAGATTTTCTGTACGGCACGCTCAGAGTTTATGAGGGGGTTACTGCAGGTTCCCTGACCACTTGCTCTTTTTTTTTTTTTTTTAAGTTTTCACTATTTTTTAATTTATTATTTTATTTTTAGAGACAGGGAGAGGGAGGGAGAAAGAAAGGGAGAGACACGTCGATGTGAGAGAGAAACATTGATCAGTTGCCTCTCAAACCTAGGCCTGTGCCCTGACCGGGCCCTGGGAATCGAACTGGCGACCTTTAGCTTTTCTGGACAACGCTCGGCCAACAGAGCCGTGTCGGTCAGGGCTACCCTGCTCTTTATGGCATGCCTGCTGTGTGCCCACTACTTAACTCATCCCGTGGGACCCCCCCGCCCTTGCCTCCCTGGGTTCAAGATCCGCAGGACCCCCTCCAGTGCCAGGCCACAGCCATGAGGGCGTAGAGGCAGCTCTCCAAATGGCATCTGCCTCCAAACTCAAGCCTCTAGCTTCTGGGCTTTGCCACCTCGTGCACCCTGCTCCATCACCCCTGAGGGGATAAACGCTGTCCCTTTTCTCTGGATGAGCAAATTGAGGCGTGGGGCAGACAGACGTTATCCTCAAATTCATACCAGCACTGGAGTTAAGGGTGGGGGAAGAAAAAAGGCAAAGGGGAAAATTACATGACATAACTCTTATTGGCCTTTTTCCTTATTACAAAAATAACGTGGTACCATTGTGGAAACTTAGACAGGTATGAACAAAAAAGAATATCGCACCTATAGTGAAGGGTTCCAGGCACTTCCAGACATATCCACTGTCGCCTCTCCTCATACACCCCTCCTGCCTTTTTTCCTCTACGCTTCTAAACAAAAACTACCGTTGATGCAATTCTAAACTTTCCTTCTACCCGTGAACACCTTTCAACGTCAAAGCACATAGATCCACATCCCTGTTTCTACAACATTTTTTGAGGAAGATTTTCAAACACATAGGGAAATTGTAAGAATTTCCCAGCGAACAGTCAAAAACCCACCACGTGGCTTCTTCCACCAACATTTCATTGTGTTTATTGTTTTATCACATTCTGTCCGTCAGTCCATCCCCCTCTCCATCCGTCCACCAGTCCTTATCTTCTATGCGTGTCCAAACGCCCACAGCCCATTTTCAATGCTGCTGGGCTTCCCTTTGTGCGCACGGCGTCAGCAATTTTACCAACCCCGAGCGTGGGATGCGGGCGTGCTCTCCCGTTTTCATCTGTGCAGATGCCGCGGCGGTAACTGTCCTCGTCTGCCCACCTCTGTGGAAGCCACAGTTGCCGATTTTCAATCGCCTGTCAAAGGAATTGCCGGTCACAGGCTTCCCACTGATGTCAACAGACGGCACTTTCTGGCCCTCCCTCAAAGCACCAAGAGTCATGAGCCACGTGGCAGGGTTTCCTCCCCAGCCCTGCAGATGCCCAAATCTCCATGCCAGTCTCTTCTCCATCCACTAAATCAGTGTCTTTTGGCTGCTAACTGTGTGCCAGCTGCTATTTCCTGACATACCTTGGTAAATAAAACAGACCAGGTTCCCTTCCCTCATGGAGCTTCCTTTCCAGTGGGGAGAGAACTAATCAGATAACATGGTAAAGTATGTAATGCCGTGGAAGAGATGAAGCAGAGGAGGGAGATGAGGAGGGGGTCGCTGCGGCTGAAACAGGGTGCCCAAGGAGGGTATCGCGAAGGTGACCTGTGAGCAGAGGCCTGAAGGAGGTGAGGGTGAGCTGTGCGGGTACTGGAGGGAAGAGCATTCCAGGCAGAGGGAACAGCGTATGCGAAGACTCTGAGGTGGGAGCGTAGCTGGATTGTTCAAGAATGAGCAAGGGGAGCGTAACGGATAATGTGGTCAGTGGTATTGGGCGCCGGTTCATGCAGGACCTGTGGCCGTGGTAACGACTCAGGGTTTACTCCGAGTGAAGCGGTAACCCCAGGGCAGGGGCTCTGAACACAGGAGGGTTATGAGCGGGCTTAGTTCTGACAAGATTGCTCAGGCTGCTGAGTGGGGGACAGACTGGAGTGGGGGACAGGGGTGGAAGCAGGGAGCCCTTTGAGAAGGTGGCCACAGTGGCCCTGGAGTAGGGGCATCAGACCAGGGCAGTGGCAGTGGAGGCTTTAAGGAGCAGCCGGATTCTGGGTGGATTCTGAAGGGAGGGCCGGCAGGATCTGCCGATGGGTTGGATGTGGGTGTGAGAGAAAGTGTCGGGAGAACTTCAGGACTGTTCTCAGCTTATACCATAGATGGCGCGAGAGCATCTGCTCTCCTGGCATAACAGCGAGTGCTCTGTCACCTGTCACTCCAGGCCTCCTGTCACAGAGGCCACTTCCTTACCCATCTGTCTCTCCCAGGACCACGGGTCCCCTGCCACCCTCTGCTGTCCCCAGTGGCTCCCAGCTCCTGATCCATTCGGTGAACACATCCATCAACACGACCTTCATCTGCCGTGTCACCAACGCCCTAGGGACGGCTGAGGCAAAACAGAGTGTCCTGGTCAAAGGTGAGGAGCCCCCTGGATGGGGAGAACAGGCTCCTGGGTAAGGGAGTCCCTCCGCCACAAGACCACTCTCTGACTTCCATCCTTCCCCTGCCTCCCACGAAAGGACCCGCAGGGTCAGCTTCACTCCCTGTTGACCTATCATCTGTGCCATTGGACCCATAGCACAGCTGCCCCGGAACACCCCTCTGCAAACCCAGGCTGGGGTACTGGTGCAATGCCTCTTCCCCTGGCACCCAGAAAGGCCTTTGCAAATGTATTAGGCCAAACTCTACCAGTTGCAATTGATAGAAGCACAACTCAAAATAGTCCAAGCAAAAGGGGACTTCATTGAAAATGTACCTTCAGTTATGATTAAATCCAGGTGATCCAGCTGTACAATCCAGGATCTTTTCTTTATCTCTCTTGTCTCTATTTTTCTCTATGCTGGTTTTATTCTCAGGCAGGTGCTCCGCTCAGGGAGGCAAGATGGCCCTCAACAGCAACAGGCTCACATCCCAGTAGTGTGGTAGTAATCCCAGGGGAAAAGATATACCACTTTCAGCAGCTCTAGCCAAAGTCCCAGGACTGGCTCTCATTGGCTTAGGTTAGGTTACAGTCACCCTATGAACCAATCACAGCAGCCAGGGGGAATAGAATGCTCTGATTGGCCAGACCTAGGTCAAAGTCCCGTACTAGGAATCAGAGGGTGGGGGGGGAGTCCACTTGGACCACATAGACTGAGCGGGAGGCAGAGTGGTAACTTCTGAAAGGAAGACGGTAATATTTGCAGGGCAGGTCAAAACCCAAAAATCTCTGAATGTAAATTCCTGCTTCCTTCTCTTCCAGAAGAACCTCCCAAGGATCAGTCCTCTGGGACCAACACCCTGACTGTGGTCCTGATTGTGGTCCTGTCTGTGGTCCCGACTGTGGTCGTGGCTGGTCTGGTGTACCGTTTCTGGGGGCCCAAATGCAACTGTGAGTCCCCATCTCTTTGACACATCCCCTGCCTGTCTGCCATGAGTGAACGTCACTGCAGCTGCCATAGCTGAACGCCTAGTACGCTCAGCCCTTCCCACGGCAGCCTCTCCCTGAACTCTCACCCCAGTACCATGAGGTTCCCCCATTTGACAGGCAGGGACAGTCCCATCAGGAAGTCTTGGTCATTGGATCATTGATTCATTTGACAAGTGTTTAGGCAGTTGGGCAGATCCTGTAGGGCTTCAAAGGCCACAGTAAGGACTGTGCCTTTTAATCCCAGTGACATAGGAGCCCCCGCCGGACGGATGGAGGATGGACTAAGACTTACTGCCCCCCAGCTTTCCTCCGTCTGCCTTGCTCAGGAGCCACACCCTAGCTGCTGTCACGGAAAGCAGGGAGGGTGGCGGCAACTGACACCCCAAACCCCGGCTCTGAGAGGGCCTGATGGTCTCTCACCTCAGAGGCCTCACACAGGCTGTTTCCCGGCCCGGAGCACCTCCACATGGCTCCTTCTGGCAAAGTCTTCGGCTAATTCTATAACCAAAAGAGCTACCGTTTGCAGAGCCCTTTCTAGGTGCCAGGCACTTTTTGGGCACAGCTCCCTTGAGTGCTCACAACCACCCTGCAAAGTGAGTGCCCCCCTCCCCCGTGCCCCACTTCACGGAGGAGGACGTGGCACACGGCTTGAAAGACAGTGGAAGGCGGTTCTCTCTACAAAGCTTGTTCCCTCGGCCATTAAACAAAACTGCCTCCTCACATCCCAGCTGGAGGGCCCCTCTTCCAAGAAGCCCTCCCTGATCCTCCAGAATGATCCAAGCATCAGCTCTGGGCTGCCGCAGCCATGCCTTGCTAACTCTGGGACGTCACTCTCTGGGGACTTGTCTGTCTCTCCAGTGGCTGTGAGCCCCAGGAGGGCAGAGCTAAAACTGCCACAGTCACAGCTATGTCCCCAGCACCACCTACCACCAGACCAGGCAGAGAGGAGGCATTTGAGGAAGTGTTTGCTGGATGTGTCACTTCCAGAGCCAGGCTGCCTGTGTCTGGGCCCTCCCTCTACTGCCTTATCAATTGTGACACCATGGGCAAATGCCTCAGCTTCCTCATCTGTGAAATAGGAGTAACTGTACCTGATAATCCAGGTAAAGCAATTAGCACAACATTTGGCACATCGTAAGCCATACACTGGGTATCGGAGCTCTGATTAGGACTGCTATCATTACTATTATTATTAATATAAACTCTGCGAGAACAGGGATCCTGTTGTCTGGTTTGTTCACAGTTATATCCCCAGCTCCCAGAATGCACCTAGCACAAAGTAGACATTTGCTATTTGCTAAATCAACCTGTTTGGTGGTTGAGGACAGTGAGGCACAGAGAGGTTAAGTCAATTGGCCAAGGTCACACAGCTCCTAAAGGACAGAGCTGGAATTTGAACCCTTCCTTCTGGTTCCAGAGCCATACTCAATAAGTACTTATACTTGATAACTGGAAGAAGAACGTGTCCCATTCCTGGTTTACAAATGTATGAACCACTATGGGAGGGGGCACCCCCATGTAAAGAGTAGCGCTGGGTCTTAGAATTCAGTGGGTCTGCCACCCGCCTGTGTCATCTTTCTGTGCGTCACAGCGTTGTCACTCATCCCTAACAACTTCTCCTGTTTCCCCAGCTCAGAATCAACGCAGCAGCCCCTCCTCTAACAATGTAAGTGTGATGATAGAGTGGAGGGTATGTGGGTGGGGACGGGGGGGGTAATTCCTGCATGAACCACAGACTAATCGCTGTGGGCTTCCCCAAGAGGGGGCAGACGTGTCTGGGTACCCATGGCCTCAGGAGCCGGGTGTTAGAGCTCTTCTCTAAATGCCCGGAGCAGCCAGCCGTTCCCTGCCCTTCTTGCGGGGCAGAATCTCCTGGAAGGTTTGCTAAGATGCGGGTTCCTGGACCTCATGCCCTGAGAGTCTGGTCTGGTGGGTCTGAGCTGGGACCTGGAATCGCGTTGACAGTGGTGCCCCTTCCCTCGGGTCATAATCGCACCTGAAAGTGCTGCCCCCACCCCCCGCGATGGGGAGGGGGCGGGGACAGACCTGTGGGGGGCTTCACAGGGAGGACTTTTGTCTCAAAGGGCCCTGAGGCTAAAGTTTGAATATCCCTCTTCTAGAATGTCTCCTATGCAGCTGTCAACTTGGACCCAGTTAAGGCCAGCTCTCCCCCAGACCGGTGGATGGATGGGAAAGAGACAGAGGGCACGCGGTGACAGCTGCGGACAGGATGGAGAGAGACGGGAGCTGGCAAGGAGGAGGGCCTCACAGCTGGACCCCCCGCAGTGGATGAAGTCTCTCTCCACAGAAACAGACCACCCTCTTTGTGCCAGACCTCAAGATGCCCCCTCTGTTTTGCAAGGCAGTGGGCGGGTGCAATTTCTGACACCCCAGACCTTCCTCAGGTTCAGTGTGTTCACTGAGGACTCACAGAACACAGGATAGGTGTTATTCTCCGGGTCACAGGTCACTGCAATGGCAGTGAGGTTAGCACCAGTGATGTGACCTGGGGTGAGACCTGGCAGGATCATCCAGTCGTCTGCTCCCAGTGGAGTCACATGACAGCGCTCACATCTCCCAGCAATGGCCGTGTGACAACACACAGGGTATTGCCAACCAGCAAAACTAATCCCAGGCTTGGCTTCCAGAGTTTTTATTGGGGGTTAATCAGGTCGGCGCAGCCAACTTTAGTCTCAAGCACTTCCACAGGGCAAGCCAGGCCGGGGGCCCGCCAGAAATCGCACTGTTAGCGTAGGGGGTCTGGAGTGGCCCAAGGCCTCCGGGAAACAAGACTGCCGTCAGCCAGGACACTTCAAGAGCTTAGAGGTTGTCTCCTGTGACAAAACATCAAATCTCTCTCTGGGCAAGACTCATCTTTTCCTGCACAGGGCGGGCACAGGGTCACCTGGGATGTTCCAGCTGCCAGAGAATTTTGATGAGAATTTTATCCTTGGCCTGGAGCTCCCCATTCTCCATGTCAGTCAAATTTCTGCAGCTGCAAGAAGCAGCCGCCGATCCTCGTCACCAGAAGAGAACCAGCAGCTGGAACTTAGCTGCCTGGGGCTGTCCAAGGAGCAGGAACAACTGGTGGACATGACCTTGGAGGTTATCTGTCCCAGGCACCTTCTTCAGGGGGCATTGGGCACCACCGGGCTGGTGTTGACAGGACCCCAGGCATGGACGCCACTGATCTGCTCAGGAAAGCAGATGTCATTCCCAAAAGGCAAAGGAAGAGATGCTGGGGAAGCCGCTGTGCAGGACCTACGCCCTCAGACCAGGACGGACGCATCCCAAGCCCAGGGGGCAGAGCTGCTGAGATACAACTGTTCACCTTAAAACAGTCCGCGATCATTGGATTCTTACAGCGAGAACTGTGTACTGGGGAACGTACCTGTAGGAGATGAGACCTTGGCCTGGAAGCTGAACTGGAGAGTGAGGTGCGAGCTGCTCTGCAAGAGAAACCGGGAACGATGTGGGATCTGCTCTGGGCAGAGACGGGAGAGTGTGGAACAGAGGAGGATGGGGAAGAGGCAGGACCCAGCAGGACGGTAAGGGCGAGGGGCTCGGGGTGACCAGGCCAGTGGAACTCCGCAGTGTCAGAGGACAAGGCAGAGATTGGCTGCGTTGCTGCCACGTAAACCCCTTCTCCGTCCCCAGTCCCCAGACACCTTATTAAAGTTTATAACATCTGGCGCAGCTGTGTGCAGGGGCTCTATTATGGGAATGAGGAGGAGCTAAATTTCACGTGGGCTGTCACTGTGTGGGATAGAACCAGAGAGATGGAAGCAAGACCCTGAATCAAGAGGTTCACAGAGGCACAAGTCCCCAGGGTTCTCAGACACCATGAGCTCGTCTGATTCCTCTCTATTTATTTATTTATTCATTTATTTATTTATTTATCTATTTTATTTTTAGAAAGAGGAGAGAAACTTTTTTAAGAAACAGCCCTGGCTGGTGTGGCTTAGTGGATTGAGCACCAGCCTGCAAACCAAAGGGTCGCCAGTTCGATTCCCAGTCAGGGCACATGCCTGGGTTGCGGGCCAGGTCCCAAGTAGCAGGCGCATAGAAGCAACCACACATTGATGTTTCTCTCCCTCTTTTTCTCCCTCCCTTCTTTCCTCCATCTAAAAATAAATAAATAGAAATAAATAAAATCTAGAAAGGAAGGAAAGAAAGAAGGAAGGAAGGAGCATTGATTGACTGCCCTCCGGAGGCACCCTGACCTGGGATCGAACCTGCAACCCAGGCAGGGGATCAAACTGGCTGCCTTTAACTTCGCAGGACGATGCCCAACCAACATGAGCCAGACCAGCCAGGGCTCACTTTTTAATTTTCTAAACTGGGTAACAATAAACATCCACAAATCAGAAGTTATAAAAAGACATGAGGGGTGCCCTTTGAGTTGATTTCTGTGTAGGGCAAAAGGAAGGGTCCAGCCTTCTCTTTTTTCATGGGGATATCCAGTTTTGCACAACACTTGAATGTAATTAATGCCATGAAATTATACCCTTAAAAGTGGCTAGAATGGCAGATTTTTGTCATCTCTGTTTTTCCCACAATTTTTAAAAATGGATAATGTAACATACCAAAATCATTAAATCTTACACCTTAGGTGTGGGGACTCTATTACCACAAACTTTGTGGCTTGGAAAACACAAAATTGTTCTCTTAAAGTTCTGGAAGGCAGAAGTCCAAAATGCGTCTCGCTGAGCTAGAATCAAGCTGTGGGCAGGGTTCGTTCCTCCCTGCGGACAGGAGCCCTTCCCTGGCCTTGCCACCTTCTGGACGCTGCCGCTTGCCGTGGGGCACAGCCCACAGGCGTAGCCTTTCCCCCCTCAGACTCACTCTCTCCCCGTAAGGGAGAGGACGCTGCCTCCCTCTTTCCTGTCTAAGGGGCCTGTGAGTTCACTGGGCCCATCCAATCATCCAGGATAAGCTCCCCATACAAGGTCCTTAACGTCACCACGTCTGCAGTCTTTGCTGTGTGTTAAGAGAACATATTCGAAGGTTCCTGGGATTAGGACCTGGATAGCTTTGGGGACCCACTATTCTATTTGCCAGCCCCACCCAGGGTCCCTGTCCCACCACAGATAAGCATGGCACTACCTTGCAGTGAGTCTGGGCACAGACAAGTGTGAAGTGTGCATTATTTTGTCCACACTAGATAACATCTCACACTCTTCTCTGCACCTTGGCTCTGTTCCTGAAGGCTTCTGGAAGGCCAGAGGGGCCCTTCTAGCCCTTTTACAGTGGCCGCAAGGACTTTCTCTGCCAGGGCCCTAGGGACGGACGCTGGTGTTGCAGCTGCCCTTTTACAATTACAATGTTGTAGTGACTGCCCCTTAGCATGGGTGTGGTCCCCCACTCTGGAGCAATTGCTGAATCGAATAGTATGGCCCTTGTCAGGATAGATATTGACAAGCGGTCCCCCATGGAAGTGGAACTGATTGATCTCTGCTCCCACCAGCAATGCATATGACGGCCTGTGTTTCGGGGGAGAATCTGTGGATTCCACGGCACCGCAGTGACCCAGAATTTGGGTTTAGGTGTTGTATAACTTCACCTAAGACTGAGAAAACCACAGTTATCCATATCAGAGGATGGAAGGTAGAGGGCGTGGTGCAGATCATGGAGAGGCGGGACCACCCCCCACCCCCCACCCCGCACTGTCCCGCATGGAGTGAGTGGGGGTGGGATCCAAGCAGATATTGTCCCATTTCAAGTTGCTGTGAGATCCCAGAAGCCTCTGCGTTGAGGATGGCTCTGGGTGAGGACGCTTGTACTACTGAAATCTAACTCATTAAAGAACAACGTTGCCCTGGCCGGAGTGGCTCAGTTGGTTGGCACATCGTCTTGCAACCTTTGGGTATGGGCTCAATTCCCAGTCAGGGCACATACCTAGGTTGCGGATCTGATCCCCGAGAGCGAATGGGAGGCAACCAATTAATGTTTCTTTCTTGCATCGATGTTTCTTTCTCTCCCTTCCTCTATCTCTAAAAAGCAATGAAAAAATGTCCTCGGGTAAAGATTAAGTAAATAAGTAAAAAACAATGAAGTGACCCAAGAATTCCACTCCTAGGTAGATACCCATAGTGATTGAATACTCACGTAAATACCTGCACACTGTGCTCATAGCAGCGCCTTTTGCAATAGTCAAAAAGTAGAGACAGCCCTAATGCCCATCAACGGATCAATGGATGAACAAAATGTGCTCTAACCATACGATGCAATGTTATTCAACCATAAAAAAGAACGAAGCACTGATCCACACTACAACACGCATGAACCTTGAGAAGATGCTGCTGAGGGAAAGAAGACAGACCCAAAAGACTACCTATTGTAGCAATCCATCTATATGAAATGTCAAATATAGGCAAATCCACAGAGAGAGAAAAGAAGTCAGTGGTTGCCAGGGCCTGGGGGAAGGGAGTCTGGGAGTGACTGCTCAGTGAGTCCAAGGTTTCCAAAAATGTTCTGAAAATAAATAATGGTAATGGTTGCACAACACTGTGAATGTGCCAACTGCCACTGAACTGTGCACTTTTAAGTGGTTAAAATTGTAAGTTGCGAGTGTGTTTTACCACAATAAAAAACTTCAAATTCTTACAGAAAAAATTTTTCCTTTCCTCGCTCTTCCTGGCAGAATTTGCAGAAACCAGCTACATTCATGATGGGGAGGATGGGTGAATTGTTAAAGAACAGGTAGTATTCTAACTGGTGAAGAAAAAGGTTGTACGAAGACAGTTATGAAGGCACGATAAGGCAGACTTTATTCAAGGGGCAGGGGGCATGGCAATAGGCGTGGGGGCCACTGCAGTGGGGGTCTGTGGAGAGAGCGGACTCAACTCTGGACACAGCATGGGCCGGTGGGAGTGTAGCCTAGAAGCAGGTCGGGGTCAGTGGACAGGAGTTACTGCGAGGGAACATCAAGGGGGAGAAAGGATTCTGGGCAAACTTGCCTCATAGGCTCTGGCTGAGGGCAGGCCAGAAGGGTGATCAGACACCACCTGGGGATGGTGGACGACGAGGTACCTGATCAGGAATCAAGGGTGGGAAGTTCTAAAAAGCTGACTCAGGAGGATTCTTACTAAAATTTGGACAATGCAGACATGAACACAGGAGTCCAAAAGTCAGAGCAGTTAGAAAAGAGTCACGGGATCCTGAGTAGAGATCGGTCAATGAGAGAATCTTTGTCAGACTATAAAAATGTCATGATCAGGATGCCCAGGCTGGGATTAAAAACAAGAAACTGGATCATCTGGTTCCACCCCAGGCACCACGGGAGGGGTTCAGCTCTGCCTCTCTGCTGTTCGTGGTTTCCTTCCACATACTGGCATCATCCTCAGGCTGGTGCCAAGACAGCTGCTGCGTTCCCGGTATCGCCGCCCGATCTGGCCCGGAGAAGCAGCCCACCCCACCCTGGGTGTGCTTCCCCAGCAGCCTCCCTCAGGTCGCACTGGCCAGTACCGCCCACCGTTCAACCAATCCCTGGCCAGAAGCACAGGACCGCCTGGGAGGTTTGAACTAATCAGGACCTGCGCCCTGGAGCCCGGGAGAAAAGGGGATGGAGGCTGCAGGACAGGAGATAGAAGGCTGGACATCCGCTATTAGCAGTGACTCTCTCTCTCTCTCTCTCTCTCTCTTTCTCTCTCTCTCTCAATTTTACTCTCTTCTTTTTCTTTTTGAGTCTCTGCTGTCTAAACTTCTGTAACAAACCTACTCCTTTTTAAATCATGCAAATGGAATCAAAGTTATTATTGAGAGAGAGTAGATTCAGCAACTGGAAAACCCAGCCTGACCGGCTTTAGACATTGCTGGGCACTGCTTATGGTGGCAATAGTGCCGCACTGGAGTCTGTGGTTGTTCAGAAACCTGGCCACCCCAAGGCTTTGAACCTCCAGCTGGTTCAAAGTTGAGATTTCTCTCTCACTCCCACCTGGGGACTCTGGAAGGTGCCATCACCTCCAACAATATGACGTGCCAAGGACACACACACGCCAACTCCGTGTGCTCCCTGTGGACCCAGAAATTTCACCCAGTACTGCCTCCCCTGCCTGCCCACCCCCCATCCCTAGACCAGCACTGTCCAATAGAACCTTCTGCAATGATGATGGGAATGTTCTAGACCAAGGGTCTCCACCCCCCCGGGCCATGGACAGGGACCAGTCTGTGGCCTCTTAAGAACCGGCTGCAGAGCAGGAGGTGAGCGACAGGCCAGCGATCGAAGCTTCATCCTGCTCCCCATCGCTTGCATTACCGCCTGAGCTCCATCCCCACCACCCCCTCCCCACCAAACCCGCGGAAAAATTGTCTTCCACGAAAATGGTCGCTTGTGCCAAAAAGGTTGGGGACCACTGTTCTACCTCTTCTCTATTTAATGTCATAGCCACGAGTCACGAGGCGCTATTGAGCACTTAAAAGTGGCTGGTTTGGAGGAACTAACTTTTTCAAGGCATTAAATTTTAATTAACTTAAATTTATATTTCAATAGCCATATGCAGGTAGTGGCTATGGTATTGGCACCACCCTGGCCCCTCCATCACCCAGACTCTGTCCCAGCAGAGCTCAAAACTCTACGCAACCCCTCCCACTTCTCTAGCCACGTACGCCCACTGGGCCAGAATTTTGCAGCTTCTTCCAAACATCTCGATGGCTTGTAGCCTTGTGCTCCTGCCTGCGTGTGCTGTTTACACTCACCTCACCCCACCCCATACACCTCACCCCGCCCCACCCACCCCACCCTACTCTCTGCCTCATCCCTACTCCTACTCCAAATCTCAGCCGTCCCCTCCTCCAGGAAGCCCTCCCTGCCCCTCAAGCTGAGGGAGGCATCCCCTTGGGCTCTCCCCGCCCCCTGGCTCCTCCATGCCAACCCTGATCACTCTGGATCACCTTTATCTGGAGAGGGGTCTGTTCCACACACACGCAGAAACGTGAGCCCCGCTGTGGACTGAGGGCAGGGCAGGAGCTGTCTTGGTGGTCACTGAGCCCCCAGCACCGCCCAGCATGGGTTTGGGCATAAGGAGTGTGTGTTGGAATGAAAGAATGAAAGAATGAAAGAATGAATGAATGAATGAATACTTTTGAAAAACCATGCTAAGAGCTTTAGAGTAAGCCAGCCATAGGTCAAATCCCACCTCCCCCTTCTGGTAGACTTGCCTCTCCCCGTCTCCTCAGTTTCCTCATCTCTGAAATGGGAACGGTTACGCATGGTAGATGTCAGACGGCATAGTGTGCTTTGGGCCTGGGAGAGACGTGGAGCATTGCTCAATCAGAAGCTCCATCCACTGCGCCGCACCAGCCAGGGCTGTAACTGTTGTTATAATGACTGCCGTTGCTACTGACAGGCACACTGAGTGGTAGGAAGAGATGGAAGGGGGTCAAGGGAGGAGTGCTGGGAAGCCCCAGGAAGTTCTGCAGTCACCCTGGAAAACTGGTTCAACCAGTGCCTACACGTTCATCCCGGGGAGCACAGGAGAAGCCTCCGGAGTCTGCGGAAAGAGGGTGCTGGGGCTCGGCCACCCTCTGCCATGTCTCGTAGGCAGCCCCGGGATCCCCACTGAGCTGGCCCACTGCAGACAGCCAGGACCCGGCCCTCTGGCCCCCTTGGTGTCCAGCAGGTGGGCCCTTGGTGTCTCCACAGGACACCAAGATGGAGATTCCCATGGGGACCCAGTGCCACTTCTCCAAGGGCTTCCTGCTCTCAGGTAAGGAGGAAGTGTACCCCCAGGGCCTAGGCAAGGAGGTGGGACTCAACCCGGGCGTTGAGGTTTCCCCCTGGAAGAAGGCAGGATTGTGAGGGAAGATGAAATTGTTAGCGTAAGATGAAAGGGAGAGCAATAGAGGTACAAACACATGATGAGTCTATCTATGGAAATGTCTAGAATGTTAGGACCATGAGAGCAGGAATTTCTCTGTATTCTGTTCTCTGCTGTGTCTCCAGTGCCTAGAAATCTAGGGAATTTTAGACATATTACATATAATTGGTGTTGTAACATAAATAATATATATGCCTATAAGTATTGGTTAGATGAATGAATCAACGGATTCAGAAGCTATGAGTGCTTAGAAGCAGGCCACACAGCATCTCAGGGCAGAAAAACTTTCTGGACCAAAACAGCGGCAAATCTGTGGCGAGCATACCAGGATTTTCACTCCTGAGCCCAGGGCAGACATCACTAATCGATCTCAGTACTGTTTCCAATGAACAGTACTCAGAGTTCCAATCCCCAGATGAGGACTTAAAGGGCAGAGAATGCTATGTTCCCTGCCCAACACACTTCTGATCTCAGGCCTCCCTGTGACTTCCCCACAGTCCTGGCCCTCTGGATCCCCCAAGGCTCCTGGGCAGCCCTCCGCATTCAGAAGATTCCAGAAAGACCTCAAAAGAATCAGGACCTCCTCCTGTCTGTCCAGGGCACCCCAGAGACCTTTCAAGACATCATCTGGTACCAGGGGAAGGAGACAAGTGGTGGCACAAGGCTGTTCTCTTACATCACTGATCAACAGCGACCCCAGAGAGATGGCAGTGCCATGAGGCAACGTGACATTGTTGGCTTCCCCAATGGCTCCATGCTGCTGCGTCACGCCCAGCCCAGTGACAGCGATACCTACCACGTAGAGATTATCGTCAACCCTTCTTGGATCATGCGGGCCAAGACCAAGGTCTGGGTGGCCGGTGAGTGTCGGGTGCTGGGGGAGGAATTGGGGAGTTAATGCTCCCTGAGCAGCTACCATGTGCCCAGCCCTGTGCAAATACTACTTCTGTTCAACACACATTGATTGAGCACTTACTGTGTGCCAGCCCCTGGAGATATTTACTCCCCCTATGCATTAACTAATAAAATATCTATAGAGAGCCAAACATGGAGCCAGACCTGGGGAATGGACCATCTCACTTACTCCTCACATGCATTCTTTAATGAAACATTTATTGAGCACCTAATGTATGCCTGGTCTAGAGGGATACACTCTATCACTCAGTCCTCACGTTCACACTCACTTGTTTTTTGATGAATCCACTCTGGGAAAAGCGCTCGAGACCGGGTTGTGGACAGCAGCAAAAGCTAATGTTTCTGGGACGCTTGCTATGTGGCAGCTACTGTTGTAAACACGCCCTAGGCAGGCGTGTCCAAACTTCTGGCATCTCTAAGCCACACTGGAAGAAGAGTTGTCTTGGGCCACACATTAAATACACTGAGACACGTAATCACAAACAAACAAACAAACAAACAAAACCTCATAATGTTTTAAGTACATTTACAATTTTGTGTTGGGCTGCATTCATAGCCATCCTGGGCCTCATGGGGCCCACGGGCCATGGATGGGACACCCTGCTAGAGCATAGCTTCTCAGCCTGGGCCCTGTCGACGTCTGAACCAGCTAATTCTTTATAGCAGGGGGCTGTCCCATGCACACTGGGCTCTTGAGCAGCCTCCCTGGCCTCTCCCCACTACATGCCAGTAGCACCCTTCCAGCTGTGACAGTCCAAAATGCCTCCAGACATTGCCAAATGTCCCCAGGGGCAAAATCACCCCAGCTGAGAGCCACTGCCCTATATTAACTCATATTTACTTTTAAAAAAACTCCATGGAATGTTATATGTCAATGGTATCCAAATGAAGCTGGGCAGGGGGGGGTGATGAATAATAAGCAGATTTGATCACGTATCCCCAGAGTTACCTTTGTGACTGTCATAATGTATTTTAATTTATCAATTTGCACACTGGTCCCATAAGGATAATAATTCTTCAAAGTGAGAGAATTAGGAACGTACTCTTCCTTTTATCATCCAGGGTCTACCCCAGTGTGTGGGACATAATAGGTTCTCAGTTAATGTTCATTGACTAAATAAATAAATGAATGAAAACTTTAATTAAAAAAAAAAAACCAAGTCCAAGAGGCAGGTGCCATTATTGCTTCCATTTTACAGATGAGGAAACTGTGGCACAGGAAGTGGTAGAGCTAAGATTTGATCCTATGAAGTCACAATGCCAGGGTCTGGGAGATTAACCACTTCCTCTCAAAGAGAAAGAGAAAAGTCTCCCATCGTCATTGAAATGCCGGGTGCCGATAATGAATGTGCATGATAAATTAAGATGTCATTTCAGGTAGTGACCTTAACAATAATAGGGATAGCTAACAGTCAGAGCTTGTTCCATGCTAGCTTTGCATATAGTAACTCATTTAATCCTCACAGAAGCCCTGTGAGGTGGGGAGTATCAGATGAGAAGAAGGCAAGGGAGGGCGGAAGCCTTGCAGATTTCTGGGGGACAAAGTTCCAGGCAGAGGGAACAGCAAGTGCAAAGGCCCTGAGGTTAGACTAGTTTGGTGGGCTCTAAGCAGAGACAGAAGGACACCATGGCCTACAAGGTGATGAGTAAGGTGGGTGTTCGTAGGCGAGGCCTGAGAGGCACACAGGGGACAAACTTGTGGGCCATGGGGAAATTGACAAGAGGCCACAGTTTAACCTCACTGCAGGTTGAATTTGTATTTTATCCAGGAGGGACCTGAGGCTCAGATAGTTTGCAGCACCTCCCATTTCGTGGAATTAGTGGCAGAGTCAGGATTCAAATGCAGGGCTGTCTGAATCAGAGACACAGCTGTCTCTGGAGACGCCAAATTGCTCATTCACTTATTCCTTCAGCAAACACTTCCCAAGCACCTCCTCCTCAAGGCGCCTTCTGTGTCTGGCTTATACTGAGCGGTGCTGGGGACATGATGGTGACCAGGTCAGCTCTGGCCTTCCCATTGCTCACGGCCCAGGAGGGAAGACAGATATTAACTAAATAATCACATGCACACACATGCGCGTGCGCAAACAGATCATTATAAACAATGCACGTGACTGTGAAGAAAAGGCAAGTGCAAGGACTATGAGATTGTACATAGGGGTACGAGGGAGGTTGGCCCGGAAAGGTGATCCTTCAACAAAGCATGAATGATGACTGGCTGTTCTAAATAGAGGGGAAGGAAGCTTTGGGAGGTGTTTGAGCAGACGGCTCAGCCTGTGCAAAGGGCCTGTGGCAGGAAGAGGAAGGGCTCGTAAGCTGAGCTGGCAAAAGGACAGCATGATTGAAACAGGAGAGCAGGGAGAGCACCCTAAGGATATCTTGGAGCTCAGGCTGAGGTTGTAAGGACAGACACTCTCTCCAACTGGCTCAAAGTGGGGAGAGCTTATAAAACCGCAGAGGGAACCCCTGGGAAGTGAACGGCAGGAGGCCTGGGTTCACAGCTGTCTCCCTGGAGCCTAGAGCAGGGCGGGACCCACAGTTGAGTGAACGAATGGGTGGGGAGCCCCGCAGGTGTCAGGAAAGCAAGTGCTCCCTCCTTCTCCAGAGGGCTCCACCCCTGGTCTCTTCTCTCCTTGGGCTCCATGCTCCTCTCCTGGCCTGAGAGTCCCTCCAGGACACTAAAGAGTGAGTTAGCCAAGGCTTCTCCACATACTCTGAATCCCTTCCTGCGGAATGTGGAGATTTAAGAACAGAGCTGGAGAAAGATAGACAGACAGACAGAGAATCTGGATGGCCCAGCCTGGCCTGTGATTTGCTTCCCCTTGAGTCAAGAAGGGTCCACCCCTTGTCCAAGGGGGTGGGATCAAGTAGGACAAACCGGATGGGGAGCTGGGGGCCTGGGGATCAGGGCTGGGACGAGGAGCAAGAACTCAACACCTGCCATTTCTAGTAATTGTGATACATAGTTAGTATCACTTTGTTCACCACGAACCCCCGGGGGGCCTAGGGCAGTGCTTAGCACACGCTGAGGACCCAATGTGTATTTGCAAAGCCATCTCCCCTCTGGAGAGCCCTTGCTACAGCAAGGCACCTTCAGGCTCGGAACTTTGCTGACCTTACCTCACTCCATTCCCACGAAAACCCTGCTGGGAAGGCCCTGGGATGATCCCCTCTTTACAGAAGGGCAAACTGGGGCCTAGAGACCACTGGGAGGAGGGGAACCGAGGCTCCAGCTGGGCTGCACTCCATCTCCTCACGCCTTTGCCGCCTGGCTCTTCTCTAAGCCTAGACTCCAGGGAGGCACCGAGGGGCCCCATGGAGCGCAGCAAGCAGCGGGGTGGGGCGGGAATGCCTTGGCGTCAGAGGGATAAGCACAGGGAGCGGGGAAGCAAAGCAGTGCAGCTCAACGGAGAAGGAAGAGCGAAGGAAAAGGCAGAGGCCCCGCCCGGCTCAGCCGGCTGGGTGGCGGCGTCCTGCAAAGCAAAAGGTTGTGGGTTCCTTTCCCCTGTCAGGGCAGTAAAAAAAAAAAAATTTTTTTTTAATTTAATATAAATAAATAAATAAAAAGGAAAAGGCAGAAGCTGAATTCATGGGCATTAGGGACAGAGTTGAGAGTGTCCTCAAGTCAGGATGGTCTCCTTGGCAACCAGGGCATTTATTTTTGAGGGCAGTTATGGCCCAAAATTCAGCAGCTACGTGGCGGGGGGGTGGAGATGGTGGGGTGCGCTTCCTGCACCCCGCCATGCTCTGTCTCTCCTAATTACGAGGGGCTGTAACAGAAGCCACCCCATCTGGCACGTGCAGAACAGGGTTTAGTAGAGGGCACTGCACGCTCATGGGGACTCCGGAAGTCTGGGAACCAGGAACAAGGTAAACTTACTCAGCAAAACTGCTCCCAGTGCCCGGCAAGCATCGCCCACACTGAGAGTGCTGGGCCCAGAACTCCTGCCTGGGGGCACCGGAACGGGCACCCATTCTTTCCTTTATTCATTCCACAAAAGTTCGCTGAGCGCCCGCTGTGTGAGAGGCATGGATTTACAGAATGGGACAGGACAGAGAAGGAACAGGACAGAGATCTCTGCCCTTGCAGAGTTTATGCGTCGTGGGCCTGGCAACCTCATTCTCATCCTCAAAGACCTGGTCCGATGCTGCTGTCTCTGTGTCTCTAGCTTCTAAAGCCTAGTCTCACGTGGGAACATCTTATCGGGGAGCCTGGGTCACGTGACGGTGCCAGATTGAAAAGGAGGCTAAGAAAGCGAGTCTCCGGCCAGACTCCTGAGGTGGAGGGTTCCCCGGCACAGGCAGCCTGGAAACACAAGAAAGGCCCCGGACACGTAGGAACCATGGCTGCCTCCACTGTACAGACGAGGAAACAGAGACTCGGAGAGAGGAAGTCAGCAGCCCAAGGTCCCACAGCCGGTGAGCAGCAGAAACCAGGCTTAAAAGCCGAGTCCCTGGTTCCCAGCCTTCTGGACGCCCCATGAGCACGCAGTGCCCTCTACTCCTCATATACAGCCGGCGTCTGTTGTTTTGTAAATCTAGTTGTGGGGATTGCAAACAATTCTACAGGGGGGCCTCAAAGGGTTCCGGGCCCTCTGACAACCAGGGCAGTTAATATGGAGCTGGACACCCCTTAACTGACCACGTGCAGAGCATTTCCCACACGTTTATCTCCTGTGTCCTCCCAGCCACAGCATCATGAGCCCCATTATCCAGAGGGAGAAACTGAGGCACAGAGGGTTTAAGCCACTTGTCCAGGCCACCCAGCTGGGGAGCAGGACTTAAGTGCAGGCTGGCTGGCTCCAGAGCCGCACTCTTAACTATGACTTTAGAGTAGCCCCCCAGCCCCCACCCCTTATCCGTGATTTCATTTTCTACAGCTTTGGTGACCTCTGCTCCAAAAATACTAAATGGGAAGTTCCAGAAATAAACAGCTCATAGATCTTCAACTGTGTGCCATTCTGAGTAACACAGTGAAATCTCCCACCACCCAGCGCCCTCTTGCCCAGGATGTGAATCATTCCTTTGTCCAGCATGTCCTCACCGTACACGCTCCCCGCCCATTAGTCACCCAAAGTGCAAGAGCAGTGCCACCGGCAGTTCAGATACGCCAAAGGGACGCCAGAAAGTGCTTCCTGTGAGGGAGGCAGTGAGTGCAGTCCAATAGGATACTTTACGAGACAGAGAGAGAGACCCCATTTATGTAACTTTTATTACAGTATAGTTATAATTGTTTTATTATTGTTGTTAAGGCCTTACTGTGCCTAATTTATAAATTAAACTTTATTATAGGTATGTACATATTTAAAAAAACATAGTATATATAGGGTTTGGTATTATCTGTGGTTTCAGGCATCCACTGGGGGCCTTGGACCGTATCTCTGGCCGATAAACTGGGGACTAGTGTATTCTGTCTCATCACGAACAGCCATCGTGGAAGACTAACTAGGTGGCGTCAAGGGTTTACTACTCACCAACCATTCAATCTTAATCAGGTGGCCAAACTCTCAGAGCCTCCATTTCCATGTCTGACAATGGGGGCCGCCTTCACACCTCCCCCAGGGGGTTGTTACGAGACGAGTTTGGCAAATCCGTATGCTGCTGCTGCTTTGGAAGCTGTGCAAGTCAACAGAGACCAACCAAATGAGAGAAGCCACCTCTCATTCAGAACTTGCTCTCTCCAGCAAGGCAGTCAGCCACCGTCACCTGTGTTGTGCCAGAGACCCAAAGGCAGGTAGAGGGGAAGCTCAAGGGCCCCCTCAGCAGCACAGAGAAGCTATCTAGAAGCGGGGCATCCTCTGTGGCTCGTTAGGGTGTATATCTGGCTCCCTCTGGTTGGTCCTAAATTAGAAGTGGGGACAAAAATTAGGGAAGCCGTCAGTTATTAACCAAGTCCTGGACATTTGGAGCTGATGGTTACAGAAGCTATTTAGCTTCTTGGATTGACACTAAAGTTACCAAGCTGGCTTATGGCAGGCTGGCTTTTCTACAGCTGTTTATAAGAGGGTTGGTTTCCTGGACAGGTTGCTGAAGATTGTGGGTCAGAATTCTGCTTCTGTAGATTCTCTGGCCATTACGTATTTATATAATGGTCTCTCAAAGCACTTTTCAGATGTGGTCGTATCTAATCAAATATCAGCATGGATAAATCTGGTGCACAGAAGAGGATGCATGTGATTCATTTTTAGTAGAACTGAGCATAAATGGTCCCAGAGACGAGTGAGGAGAAAAGCCAAAAAGAAAGTTTTCAATCCTAGAAAAAGAAACAGGATGTGAGGTCCTTGCTGCAGAACAAACTCAGTGGTATAAAACAAAAATGATTTTATTATGTTTACGATTTCTGGGATCAGGTATTTAGACAGGGCACAGCAGGAATGGCTTGTCGGTTTTGTGATGTCTGGGGCCTCAGATGAGAAGACTCAAAAGGCTGAGTTTAGCTCAAATGCTGAAGGCTGCATCATCCAGAGGTGTCTGCACTCATATGTGTGGCTGTCAGCTGGGATCTCGGCCAGGGCTGTTGACCAGACCACTATCATACGATCCCTCCAATGTGACTGCTTGGGCTTCCTCACCACATGGTGGCTGGGCTCTGAGGGAGCGAATGTGGAAAATGAGTATCCCAAAAGACCAAGGCAGAAAATGGACAGGTTCTCTTGGGTGTCACCTAAACTGCATTCTTTTTCTTTGAAGAGTTTATTTATTTATTTTTAGAGAGAGGGGAAGGGAGGGAAAAAGAGAGAGAGAGAAACATTGATGTGAAAGAAAACTTATCTGTTGTCTCTCATGCACAACCCAACCAGGGACCAAACCTGAAACCCAGGCATGTCCCCTGACCAGAAATTAAACTGGTGACCTTTCACTTTTCAGGATGATGCTCGACCAAGCCACACAGAGCAGAGCTACACTGTATTTTTTTTGTTTGTTAGTTTGTTTGTTTTTTTGTTACAAGGAAGTCACTACGGTCAGCCCAGATTCAAGATGGCGGGGTGGGGGATGGTGTTAAATCTTTCTGCTAGATAGGAGAATAGCAAGGTCATATCACAGAAGAGCATACTCTTGCAATCAACTTTGAAAAGTACAGTGATTCCCAGGCTTTTTCTTTACATGCTCACAGTCTATAATAAAAAAGCAGAAAATACATCGAGTTATAAAAGAGGACAATTATGTGAATCAGGCAGTGTTCTTGCTTCAGCAACAGAAACTGCTTCTGGCTGATTCAGGCAGTGAAAGAATGGATTAAAGAAACATGAACAGCTCACAGACGTCCAGGATGACAAGGAACAAGGCTTGGGAGTTGTTTATGGTGAATTAGGTCACCTCAAAAAGATATGTTGAGTCCTAACCCACAGTCCCTCAGAATAGAACCTTATTTGGGAATCATGTCTTTACAGAGGTAATCAAGTTGAAATGAGGTCATAGCATGAGCCCTGATCCAGTATGTCTGGTGTCCTTATAAAAGGGAATTTGGACACAGAAATTTGAATGTGGAATTGCCCAGGGTTTCAGTGTCAGAAGCAATACTGGCATTGTGTTTAGTCAACACAGTGCTTTAAGGCGTGTTTAAATGAGTGGCCCACGCAGGAGGCTGGGAAATGTCTTCATCTGGGGCAGGCTTCTGCCCAGGTAAACCTCAGGGTTGTCTTTCCAAGGAGGCATATATATGAGGCCTTCATGGTAGCAAAATGGGTCCAGTGTTCACAACTCCACAACCCACTTCCAGAACAGGGGATGTCCTTTCCTAACCCCTTCACTCTGATTGGACCAACCTGAGCCAATCACTAAGGACAAGTGAATGAGGAGTTCTGACTGGCTTACATCTGGATTGCTGCCCATCCTGATCCAATCCGTGTGACAATGGATGGGACTATACTATTTGGAATATGCTAATAAAGCCCCACCCAGAACTGGGGGTGGAATCAATCTCTCAATCTCTCAGAAACCCCGGAGGATTCACAATGGTGGAAAGTGCCAAGGAGCCACCCACATGCCCACTCTACCAACATTAGTCAACTAATTGCATAATTCGGTAATTAGCTATGAAAAAAAGGTGTATCAGGAGTCTCCTTGGCTTGGGGTTATAAAAGAAAGCTTTCAGGAGGAGCTGGGAATGGAAAAGTGAGCAGGAGTTATAGCGCGTGGGGAAGAGCACGTCAGGCAGAGGGAACTGCATGGGCAAAGGCTGGAGAGCTCAGAGAGTGAGGGAGGGAGTCATGGGTGGTGAGCCTGGGTGGATGGACTAGGGAGCAGGTGCCAGAGCGAACCGGTCGGGGGGAGGGGACTCTGGATATTGTAAGAAGACTGAGTGATTGGTGCAAGGAGTGAGCCAGCCAACACAGCTCAGCCTTGCCCCACCTCCTGAGTCATTCAGGGAGGTCACCTAACAACTACCAGCTGTTGTGAAAGTTTGATAACGTAGACGTAGAAGGTGCAAAAGTTGCTGGTACAGTTTCTGGTAGAGGGACCACTTTCTATCCTCCGCCCAAAGTGACCCACTGGTCCTTGTTTTGTATATCTGCAAAATGGGCCTAACTTAGCCGGTTCCCTGGGTGTGGAGACAACTACCGAATATGCCCAAACACCACACAAGCCTGGACACGGCTATCCCCTTCCTCCCAGGGATAAGATTAAACTTTAAGATGGACTTTGGACACTTTGAACAGATAAACTTTTAGGGAGAGGGAGGAAATAAGCAAACATTTATTCATTTGAATATATGGGCGGGGGCAGAGAGAGGGTCTCTAGTCCATTGGGAAATAACAGTCTTTGCTGGGTCAGAGCCTGGAATAGCTCATTCCCACCATTCAAGGGTTCTCAGGGCCCAGGCCCCTCTTCAGCAGCCATACACAGTGGCCATTAGGAGTTCGGGTGACCCAGGTGTGACCCCCGCACCGCGCTCACCACGAACTTACCACAAGCCCTCAGGCAGATCAATTCACTTCTCTGTGCCTTAGTTTCTTCGTCTGTACAATGACACAGAATGTACTTTGATAACTGAGACAACACTGTGTGTGTGTGTGTGTGTGTGTGTAAACTCATTCAATCTTCACAACAACTCTACAAAATATGTAGTCTTATCACCCCCATTTCACAGATGGGAAAACTGAAGCACAGAAAGGCTGAGTGATCTGCCCAAGGTCACATAGCCAGTAGGCAGCAGGGACTAGAACCCCAGTATTCTGACCTCAGAGTCTATGAACTTAGCTGCCAAGAAGAGCTGAGACAGAAGTGTCCAACTTGAAATGAAAGGCGGGAGGCCATGCTGGAGGCCAGAAGGCAGGTAGGCTTTGTCCCAAAGCCGGCCTGTTGAGTTTGAGAACCCTGTGAGTGGGGTCCTCTATATCCCCCATAAGACACAGCCCAGAATCTCCTCCTTTCACTGGAACAATAGAGATGTCATTCACTGAGGCACAAAAAAGCAGGTAGGTGGGGTGGAGTGGGGTAGGAGATCATGTCAGAAGGTAGGTTTTGGATGTGTTGGGAATGGTAGGAAATCTTAGGGAGGCTGTGATTTTGAGGTAGGTGAGTCAAGGAGCTCCATTTGGGACACATTGGGTGCAGTGGAATCAACCAGGTGGTTGGATACTCAGGTGTGAAAAGCAGCAGAGAGCTCTGGGATGAGAAGTTACCCAGAATACACCTTGGCACTCTGTGGATAGTCACCTATGTGGGGGGTAGGGGGCTGCTCCTGAGACATCACACAGCTTTCTCTCTCTCTCTCATTCTCTCAGAAAAGCTGCCTGTAAGCGCTGGGACTATGGCTGCCATCATCACTGGATCTCTTGTTGGGGGGTCCGTCTTCATTGGCATCATTGCCTATCTCCTGGTGACAAGAGGCTGGAGGGGCAGGAGCCACAGGTACAGGGGCCCCAGGCCTCTCTCTGCTTCCCTTCTGCCTAATTTCCCTGCCCTCTTGATCAATCCCATTAATTGATTCTTCCACAAGTCACATCATCTGACCGATTCACAATCTCATCAAACCTTGGAACCCCTGAAGTGAAAGACTCTTTCTGTCCTGTATTAGACAGAATTCTGCCTTGCAAGGGACAAAAACCCAACACTTGAAGTAGCTTACAAGGAATTAGAAAATGTTTTTGTCCTACATGAGCTTCAGGTGTGGCTGGATCCAGGGACTCCATTTTGTCAAGAAACTCCTCCAGCCCTGACCAGTGTGGCTCAGTAGGTTGGGTATCATCCCACAAAGCGAAAGGTCATGGGTTCAATTCCTGGTCACGGCACATACCTGGGTTGCAGGTTCAGTCCCTGGTTGGGACATATATGAGAGGCAACCGATCAATGTTTCTCATCCTCTCTTTCTCCCTTCCATCCCCTCTCACTAAAATAAATAAATAAAATCTTTTTAAAAAGACATAAAAGAAAAAAGAAACTCCTCAACACACCTCTCAACTCCGCTTTTCTCTATAGTGGCTTTATTCTCAGGCAGGTTCTCACCTTGCAGTGTAACAAGAAAGCTCCTAGTGGCTCCAGGCTTATGCCCCGCCAGCTCAGTCACCACAGAGGACAAACCTCACTGTGTTCCTGATAGTTCCAACGAAAACCCAAGGGCTGCCTTAAGTCACATGTCCTGACACAGACCAGTCACTGTGGCCAGGTGCTGGAATGCTCTAATTGGCCAACCATGGGCTATTTTGGCAGCCCTGGAGCTGGAAATAGACCCAGCTTCACAAGATCAAATGATTTAAGAGTGGGGATGGGTTCTCCAAAGGCAAACCAGATGTTATTGCCAAAGAAGTGGAATGGGTGGTGGGCAGGCAAAGCCATCAGACATTGCCTGCTTCTGCATGGTAGGGAGAGAGATATTGGGGCCTGTTTTCCCAGGAGACAGTCTGTTCATGAAAAATTTCTTCCTCCGGAGAGGAGCCTCTTCAGAACTTGGTTCTGAGCTGGCTTCAGATAAGCTGTCCAGTTTTTCTGCCACTCTATAATCCCCAGAAAATGAAGGCAGCCATCTTCTCTCTTCCCTCAACTCTTCCTTGAGTGTTGTTGTTTCTTGACCTTCACCACCTTACTTGTCTTCCTCCTGATATATCCTAATTTAGGGGTCACAAAGGGCTGTAAAAAATACTATAAACGAGCCACTTCAAAATGGAGCCAGAGCAACAAACGAAATAGAAACAGACTGACAGCTGTCAGAGAGGAGTGGGCAGAAAGGCTGGGTGAAAAAGGTGAAATGATTAAGATCAAAAAAACCCTCATAAACAGACAACAATATGGTGATTACCAGAATGAAAGGTGGGTGGGGAGAGGTAAGAGAGGGTAAAGGGGGAAAAATGATGATGGAAGGACACTTAACTTTGGGTAGTAAACACACAATATACAGATGATGTATTAGAGAACTGTACACCTAAAACCTACATAGTTTTATTAACCAATGTCGCCCCAATAAATTCCATTATAAATAAATAAATAGATAAATAAATAAATAAATAAATAAATTTTAAAAAGGGAGCCAGAGCAGCTGTCCCTGAGGAAGCACCTTGCACCTTTTATTTCTCAAACCTTTGGAATGTTAAAACAAGACAAGATAGGCTCTGGACTAAACCTAGTGCAGCGTTGTGTCCAAAGCACTGTTGGCAAAGATAACAAGAAAGCAGATATTATCACTATGACTAGCAGGCTGATGACTATTAGGTTAATAATTTGAAACATTGGTTATCTGCACCAACAGAAATGTCGCCTACTGGTGTCATCATTTCCTTCCCTTTCTCATGCTTCACCTCCTAATCAGAATATTTTTTGGATTTCTGCCTGAATCAGTTGCTTCCTGAATAGCTAGCTATTCTTTTTTTAGCTCCGATAAAAGCTGTGGCCTCTCGACTTGGCCTTTTATTTTTAGGTTAACGCATCTTTCACCTCCTAGCCCAATTCTGATCAGTAAAACAGTTAGCACATATTCGCTGAGGGCCTACTATGTGCCAGGCACTCTTTTAGGCACTAGAGAGCTCCATGGAAAGGGGTTGGAGGTTGCATCTAAGTTCAGTAGGAAAGAATGCTATGATTGATTAATAATGTCTGCCACTGTCCTATCTAAGGTAGTGTAGGCACAGTAGCCATTCCTGCTAGACTCCTTCTTAGCTCACAAGAGGAACTGAAAGAGGTGATGGGGAGGATCTCTCCCACAGGCTGTCGTTTGCTGTAGTTTGCCACAGTTTCTAGAGAAAACTGAGGCTTAGAGACATGAAGTCATTCTCCAAATGGCATAGAACTAGCCTGCAAGTGCCAAGAGTCTCTCGGGACAGAAACCCAGGTGACTTGGAAGCTCCAGACCAAAACTAGACTCTGTGTGTCCTGAGCCTCCTGACCAGCTTTTTTCCCCGCTGCATCCAGTGATTCTCAAAGAGTCTCAAAGGTTCTCAAAGCACTGGCCAAACCGTAGGCAACTTGACATGGCATTTTGAGCCATGGCATTAAAAAACACAAAATCATGGGAATATTTTTTTAAGGTTTTATTTATTTATTTCTAGAGAGAGGGGAAGGGAGGGAGAAAGAGAAGGAAACATCGGTGTAAGAGATGTCGATTGGTTGCCTCTTACATGCCCCTAACTGGGAACCTGGCCCACAACCCAGGCATGTGCCCTGACTGAGAAGCAAACGTTTTGGTTCACAGGCCAGCGCTCAATCCACTGAGCCACGCTAGTCAGGGTGAAATATTTAAATACATGGAAGTTTTTAGGGGTAAAGGGCCATGATGCATGCAGCTTACCTTCAGATGGTTCAGGAAAAAAAAATATGCGTGGGGGAAGAGAGAGAAGACAGATGCTAAAGCAAGTGGAGTAAAAATAATAGGCCAATTCGAGTAAAAATTATATAGATGTTTTTTGTACCATTTTTGCAATTTTCCTCTAAGTTTGAAATATTTTCATGTAAGAAAGTTTTTTTAATGGTTTGGTATTTTTAAAGGCTTTAAAACACCTGGTGAAAAGATCCTTTTTTCTGTTCTCTTGGCATTGTTCTGATTGTAGTAGATGAACATAATCAGATTCTTGTCAGCTGTTAATGCCTTTCTAATATTTGCTGGCTTTTACCAAGAGAAAATCAGTGACTATACCAAGCTACAAATCTAAATCATTGTTGAGCTTTTTTAATTTTCCCGGTCATTTTCTGCTTATGACTATTTCTGCTTGGAAATAGCCTTTATGTATAATGTCACAGCTTCTGATGGGTCTTCCTGCTTCTACTCCTGGCCCACAGTCTGTTCGCCATTCAGCAGCCAGAAACACCCTGTTAAAATCTATCAGCTCAGGGTCCCTCAAAGTCAAGGCCACCATGGACATGAGACCCCACTCAGTCTCCTGTCCCCCCACCTCACCTCCCCACCTCACCGCTTCCCACTCTCACAGTCTTTCTTCCCAGCCATGCGCCTTTCCTTGCTGCACCTTTGGTGTTCCTGCTCCTGCCTCAGGGCCTTTGCACAGACTGTCCCCTCTGCGTGGAACTCTCCGTTCCTGACTTCTGCACATCTGGTCCCCTTTGCTATTTGAGGCCTTTGCTCAAATGTCACCTTCTCAGTGAGGAGCCCCAGACCATCCTACTTGAAAACACACACATACCTCTCTACCCCCTGCTCCTTTCCTTCTTCACTTTCCTTCATACCGTTTTTAACTCTACTGTTGGTTGTTTATTCGAAATCTAATCTAATGTTATCTCTCTCTTTCCCTTTCCCCACTAGACTGTCTGCTCCGGAATGCCAGGGATCTTCATCTGTCTTGTTCCCAGCTGTGTCCCCAGCGCCTTCAACAGCATCCAGCTCATGGTTGGTGTTTCCATAAATACTCATTCAGTGAATTTACAAATTTGAGGTAGCAATGCCAAGTGTATTTTTTTAAATAAGAGTGTTCAAGTGAGCCTATTTAAAGAGAAATATTTTGCCCTAGGTGGTGTGGCTCAGTTGGTTGGAGCATCATCCCATACACCAAAAGGTTAGGGGTTCGATTCCCAGTCAGGGCACATTACTAGGTTGCAGGTTCAATGCCCAGTTAGGGTGCATATGGGAGGCAACCTATCAATGCTTCTTTCTCACATCAATGTTTCTCTCTCTCTCTCTCTCTCTCCCCCTTCCTCTCTTTCTAAAATCAATAAACAAATTTTTTAACTTTTTAAAAATTAAAAAAGTAAAGAGAAATTCTTTTTTCAAATGCAAAAGAAAATTTATTTAGACAGTCACACAGTTAGAAAAAGTAAGCCGGCTGGGCTTTGTGGGCTCAGGAACAAGTTACAGAGGCAAAAGAAGGGCCCTTGGAGCTTATGAGAGAGAGACAGAGAGAGAGAGAGCACAAAAGTACATGCCCTGAGGGAAGAAGAGAGGAAAGGCCCAGAGAGAGACAGAGAGACAGAGACAGAGAACCTAAAGAGAAATATTAAGGAGATCATGAAACAGGTGGATGGAGCAGAGTTGCTTAAATGGTCTGTATACATGCCGACTTTGGAGAAATGTTGGCCATTGAGGTGGAGGCTGGGGAAACTGAGGAAGGGCTATGTGGCTGGGGATTATGGGAGGAGAGATGTGGATGGGGACAGGTCTCATCCTGGCTCGCCCTGCAGCAGGGACCATCTCTCGCTCTGGGGTCGGCTTTCCAGCTCCCTGGGTCTCCGCCCACCTACCTGAACTTCCGACTGCACTGACGCCGGTTCCCTCCATGCACCCGCAGGTTGGCGACCGCGGGGAAACCGGAGCTGGGCCCCAGTCACGACAGTGGTGAGCCGGGCGCCCCGTCCTGTTACCTGGCCTTCCCAGTGGCTCGTCCTTCTTCTTCCCCAGCAGAAACCCCCTTGCCCTCCCCTACTCGGGGACGCCCAGCCGCCTGGCCCACCCAAACCTCTCTGGGGTCTGCCCGCAGAGTCCGAGGGCATCGGCACTCACCTCAAATCTGGTTTTCTCCTCTCAATGGCTGGCACTCCCTGTCCCCAGTCACCCTCACACTAGCCCAGCCACAAGGAGACCACAACCCACCTCAGGCTCCACCTCCCAGATCCTTACACCCAGCTCCTCGCAGGTCTCCCAGGACGGCCTTTACCCCGTCCCTGGCAGGGTCCTTCGAAAACTCTGGCCATGTCCCTACTCAAAAACCCTCCATGGCTCCCCAGTGCCCTTAAGATGAAGTTCCAGCTCCCTACCATGTCTCTCATGGACTCCTATAAAGCAGTCCCCACTGTCTTTCCTGGCTTCATCTCTGACATGTAACATTCCCATCCTCAAACAAACAAAACAAAAGACAGACCAAGCATATAGTTCCTCTAACATAGCAGGCTCATCCTGACTGGTGTGGCTCAGTGGACCGAGTGCCAGCCTTTGAACTGAAAGGTCACCTGTTCGATTCCCAGTCAGGGCACATGCCAGGGTTGTGGGCCATCTCCCCACTTGCGGAGATGTGAGAGGCAACCAATGGATGTATCTTTTGCACATCAATGTTTCTCTCCCTCTTTCTCCCTCCCTTCCCCCTCTCTAAAAATAAATACATAAAATCTTTTTTTAAAAAACCCTCACTTCTCCTTACAGTCTCAAGTGTCCCCTCCTCCAGGAAACCCTTCCTGACCCCCCTCCAGGCCCTGACCCCCCTCCAGGAGCCATCTGGGCTCCCCAACTCCAGCCCTGCTCACTCTGGGTCGTCCCTGTCTGGAGACAGGTCTGTCCCCAACATAGGGCTGGGCAAGAGGGGTTTGCACAAATGTTAGTTGAAGAAATAAATGAATGTTGACAGCTGCCAGAGTGGGCCTGTGGGCCACCTGACAGCTGGTTCCTCCCCTCGTCCTCTGCTTCAGGTGACAACAACATCTATGAAGTAATGCCGTCTCCAGAGCTCCTGGTGTCCCCTCTTAGTGACACGGGGTCCATGAACGCCACCACGGTGAGCTCCCACCCCTCTCCCCTAGAGCCCGCTCTGACCTGGTACCTCCCCTCCAAGTCAGCCACGGGGCCTGCGGGGTGCACTGTCGCATAGTTTGGGAACAGGTGTCACAGGTGGGTACAGGTAACCATGTTCTTGGTGATCACAGACAAAAAATTGAACCAAACACACAGAGTTTATAGCAGAAGGCGAGAGAAAGCAGATTTTTTAAGCCACACAGAACATGGGAGCAGGCAGACTCTGAGCAGAGCGGAGCGGAGCGGAGCAGAGCAGAGCCTAACAGCCCCCACCTCAGGGGCTAGAGGGCTTTTATTTTTTAGGGCGGGTCTCTCCTGGCTAGTTTTGGCGGGCTTTTATTGTGCATGTACAAGTAGTCATATTATTCTAAAGTTACTGCACATGTGGTCGCCCTTGATTTCTTTGATTGGCTACTGGGAAGGGGTCCCACCATGCTGATTTATTATAATGCTATTATAATGAAGCAGGGGTCAGGTAGCATCTTCTGCTCAGGTACATTCCTGATCCACTAGGATTCAGTCCTTTTCCAGAAAGCGGGAACTATCAGTCTTAGAACAGGGTCTCTGCCCTTTATCCAGGTTCTTTATCTCAGCCCTGGGGCACCTCAGGGGTTTCCCCCTTCCTGACTATCTCCTGCCTCATGGGGGCGGTCTTCCAGCACCTTCCTTATTTAAAAACCAGAAGGAAGAGAGACTGTAAGAAAACAGCATAAAGAACATTTGTCTCTGGGCCTGGAGGCTGGGGAATGGGCTCTATTTTCTCTCAAGTCTGTGTTTTTTACACTGAGCATATATATTGCCTTTATACTCAGGCAGGAAGGGTTCATAGAAATAAGAATTAAATAAGAAGAGAAACTTAAGAAGCTATTAAACATATGGAACCACAGGTGTTGACAGGGAGGATGAGCATTAACGGGGTGACTGTCAGGCCACTAGATGTGCCCTCTTGAAGAGGCACCTTCGCACCCATTTCTCAGAGGGGAGCACTGAGGTGCAGGCACGTGGTACCCTTCACCCAGGGCCTCACAGTCAGGGAGGGGCGATGGGGACTAGAAATCAGGTCTGTCCTAACACTAAAGGTCAAAGGGCGGCAGGTGGGGGGTGCCAGGGCCTGGCTCACCCGTGTTCTTCCCTTGCAGCCCCCGTCCCCGCCCCCGCCCCCGCCCCCGCCCCTGCAGCTGATACCAGAGAACGGCCAATACCAGGTGTGCGGCTGGGAGGCAGGAGGGATGGCGGGACCCCAGGAAGCCGGGGTGGGGAGGGTCAAGGAGACCGGTGGGAGGGGCTCACCACCACTCCCCACTCTCGGGCTCTCCCCGAGGGACCCCAGGCAAGTCCTCTCCGCCTCCCCACCGGCCCCCCTCCCCCGGGGTCGAGCTTTCTTCCTTTGTCAAAAGCATCCAAGGCTGTGAGTTTGCACAGGAGGAAGTGAAGGGCAGAGAGGGGGAGGGCTCGCTCAGGCTCACAGGCTGTCAAGGCCCATGCCTGGGCCCGGGGCTCAGCCCCTCTCCGTCCCCTCCTGTCTGCCCCTGGGTCTCTGTCTTCCTCTCAGTGTCCCTGTCTGCCTGTCTACATGTCTCTGTATATGTGTCTCTACCCCGTCCCTCTCTCTTCTCCCTCCCTCTCTCTCTGTCCTTTCATATTTCTTTCCCTAACTCTCTCTGTACCTCCTCACATCTTTCTTTCTCTGTCTCTTTTTCATCCTTTTCCGTGTCTCTGTGTCTCCCATCCCTTCGTCTCTGTCCCTCCACTTCTACCCCTTTTTCTGGCTCATCCGGTACCTCCCTGTCTCCGCATCTCTCTCCACCTCTGCCTTCTCTTCTCTGTATGGTGTGTTTTTATCCACGTCTCCCAGTCTCTAGCTGGTTCTTCTTTCTTCCTACAACTCTCAGCCCCCAGCGACAACCCCCCCTCTCTCTTTACCCTGCCAGGATCTGCTGAACCCCGACCCTGCGCCTTACTGCCAGCTGGTGCCGTCTGCCTGAAGGGGGCCCCAGCCAGACCCGTGAGCGGCAGCGGGGGGAGGGGGGGGGAGCCTCAGACCTCCCCTGGAGGCCCCGCACCTGCAGAAAAGCCTCACCAGAGACCCAGCAGAACCAGGCAGGCCATCAGGGCGGTGGGGCTGATGGGTGGACTCAGCTGAAGACACAGCAAGGCATCAGGCAGGCGTCCCAGGTGAGGGACAGGAGACCATGGCCGGCCCAGCTTCCTGCTCACTCTGCATGTACCACCTGCCCTTAATTGTGGTCTTTCTAGCCACTTGACCTATGCCACGGGCCTGGGAAAAGCAGGCTCTTGCCCCGTTCTCCTCCTCCACTGGGATATTTGGGGGCTAAGAGGGTGGTCTCGGGCCTGCCTCCAGCCAGACCTCCCCGGCACCCACTTGGCTGAGCTCCCCACTGACAGCACACAACGCCCTACCCGCCCTGATCCCTGGTGGCCCTCAGAGCCCCTGCCCCTGGGGACAAGGCAGCCCCTGCCACACACGCCCCAGAAGAGAAGGCACCCAGCAGCGAGGACCACTAGAACGGGGCCCTCCCTCACAGGTCTATGTCCCCAGATAACAGTCCTGGTCAGTTCCCATGGCTGTCAGACCCCTTCCCTACTCAGGCAGAGCCACCCCCTCCCCAAATCCAGTCTCTCAGAACCTGTGGCCCTCCTCGCCCTACGCCCCTCACTCTGAACCTCACCAAACCCCTCAGGGCAGGCCTCCCTTCTCCACCCCCACCCCACCCCCACTCCCAAATGGGAGCACAGTCTGTGGCCCGTAATGTATTCATTCGTTCAGCAACAAGCAGGCTGTGTGCCATGCACAGCTCCGGATCCTGCAGCTCTGGCAGGGAAGGAAGCAGAGGAAAATCTCCTACTGTCCTAGAGGAATACCCTGACAAGGGAGAGTCGGAACACGAAGTACCTAACAGAGGACATGAGGTGTTGGACAGCGAGGAGTGCACTGGGGGAAATAAAGAAAGGAGGGAGCTGGGAGTGGTTCACTGAGAAGGTGACAATGAGCAAAGACCTGAAGAAGGAGAGGGAGGGGGCCACGTGAAGATCTGGGGGCAGAGCTTCTCAGGCAGAGGCCACGGCGAGTGCAAAGGCCCTGGGGTAGGAGTGTGCCAGCGTGTTCAAGGGGGAGCAAGGAGGCCCGGGTGGTGGGAGCAGAAGATGGACAGGGCTCACGGGTGGGAGGTGAAGTCAGGGGAGCAGCAGAGCGAGCAGGGCCATAGAAGGTGCTGCAAAGGCGGTGGCTTTTGCTCTGGGAGCTGGGGGGAAAAAAAGATTGTGGTGGGCTGAATAATGGCCCCTCAGAATGTCTCTGTCCTTATTAACCAATGTCACCCCCATAAATTCAATAAAAATATCTATGTCCTAATTCCTGGTGGATGTACTCTTACATGGCAAAAGGGACTTTGCTGCTGTGGTTAAATTAAGGACCCTGGGATGAGGAGTTATCCTGGGCTATGAGGTGGGCCCTAAGTGCGATCACAAGGGGCTACATAAGAGAGGCACAGAGAGAGGCAGCGTCAGAGCAGGAAGGAAGGAAGGAAGCAGAGATGGAGTGGCGCACTCGGAAGGTGGAGGGAGGGGCCAAAAGCCAAGGCAACGCAGAGTCGGGAGGTGCGATTCCACTGGTCCTCGCTGGCTTTAGAGATGGAAAGGGGCCATGAGCAGAAGCCTCTAAAAGCTGGAAAGGACAAAAAAAATAGACTCTCCCCTAGAATCCCCAGAAAGCAACGCAGCCCTGCTGGCGCCTTGATTTTGGCCCACGGAGACCCATTTCAGACTTTGGACCTCCAGAACTGTAAAAGGATAAATTCCTCTTATTTTAAGCCGTTAAATTTATGGTGATTTGTAATAGCAGCAACAGGAAACTAATATAGAGGATGAGGAAGAATTCACAGAAAGGGAAGTTGCATCTCCTGTGGTTTAGCATGCAAATACTCCCTGTAAGGGACTTCCATCCCCAGGCTTCTCAGGACACCCAGGATCTGGGTCAATGACCTCCTGCTTGCTGAGGAGGTCAACCAGGCCAGTCACATGGGCAAAGTTCAGCCGCAGAATTGGCTGCTAGGGTGCGGGGTGCGGTGTGTGGGGGACACTGTTCAACTCAACCCCAGATAAGGAGAACCCACGTGCCTGCTTCCTCTCCTCTATGCTAACAACTGCTTGTCAAACCCCAATATCTTTTTTTAAATTTATTTTTAGAGAGATGGAGAGGGAGGGAGAAAGAGAAGAAGAGAAATATCAACGTGTGGTTGCCCTTCATATACCGCCTATGGGGACCTGGCCCACAACCCAGGTATGTGCCCTGTCTGGGAATTAAACCAGTGACCCTTTGGTTCGCAGGCCGGCACTCAATCCACTGAGTCACACCAGCCAGGGCTCAAACTCCAATATCTGTTCTCTCTTTTCTTCAATAATAGGGTTTTTAATGAAGCAAATGGTTGCCAAGCATAAAAACTACATTTCCGAGCTTCCCTTGCAGCTAGGCGTGTCCATGTGACTACTTCCAAGCTAATGAGGTGTGAGCGAAAGTGATATACAAAATCCTCAGGTCCTGTCTTTAAAGGGAGAGGATTCCCCTTCTTCTCTGATCACTTAGGCTGGAGACAAGGTGTGGTGGTGGGAGCCACTTGGGATCACACAGACGAGGGTAGCGTAGAGTCAAGTTAGAGAGAGAACCTGGGCCAGAACACAGAGCCACCATGCCAAGTTACGTGGCTACCTGCGAGATTCCTCAGAGGTTGTATAAGCCATTGTTACTCAGGGACCCTGCTACACCCAGCTCCTTTTAAATCTTAATACAACCCTCACCTCCAAAATCGCAGTAGTTTGAGCGTAAGCTCTCTGAGCCTGACTGCCTGCTAACTGGTTACCTGCTGTTATAGACTGAATCATATCTCCCCCCCCCCCAAATTCCTGTTGAAGCCCTAACCCCCAAAACTACTGTATTTGGACATAAAACCTATAAAGAGGTAATTAAAGTTAAATGAGCTCTGTCTCCAGTTGGTGGTGGGCTAGTTAGAGAGGGAATCCACTGAAGAAGAAAGACTGGGGCCTTCAGCACCCTGTGTGCCAGCCCAGAACTGAGACTGTGAAAGCCTCTATAATATCTACTGCAGACCCCCTAAAAATCAAATGGGGTTGGCCCTGACTGGTGTGGCCCAGTGGGTTGGGCGTCATCCTGCAAACTGAAAGGACACTGGTTTGATTCCTGGTCAGGGCACATGCCTGAGTTGAGGACCCCGATTGGGGGCACGCAGAAGACAACCAATTTCACATTGGTGTTTCTCTTTCTCCCTCCCTTCCCCTCTCCCTAAAAATAAATAAATAAAATCTTTAAAAAAAATTTTTTTAAATCAAGGAGGCTTGGATTTGGACATCCTCAGTAGTAACTGTTACAGGCTGATAGGACCACAAAGAGATGATGCTGGGTAGTTAATAGATCTTATAGTCCAACTTCATTCCTAGATAGAAGCTGGAGTCATCTGATACCAGAGAAAATTTCAGAAGACTTAAGCTAGATCTGAGTTTCTTTCTAGAAACTCCTTTCCCAACCTCCAAACTCTTGGGTGCTATTAAGTCCTGGATATACAATAGATGATGACAACATTTTTCTTTTATACATGTAGGGGTAGATGATTCTTCAAATTAAAGATGGAAGCTGACTTTTCTCACCAGAAATGGTTTATAGAATCAACTTGCAAAAATATAAGAAGCCGCAGGCCTGGCCAGGTGGCTCAGTTGGTTAGAGCGTCATCTCAACATGTCAAGACTGAAGGTTCAATCCACTGTCAGGGCACATACAAGAATCAACCAATCAATGTATAAATAAATGGAGCAACAAATCAATGTTCTCCCCTCCCCTGCTTCTCCATCTAAAAATTAACTTAAAAATTTTTTTAAAAATATGAGGCAGCAAACAAAGGAAAGAGTACAATATTTTCTTTTATCATCCTTAGATCCTTTGCTATATCGTAAACTCAATGAAAACAAGATAACTTCTTTATCCTTAACACCTGGCCTAGAATAAATATTCAAAAATATTTGAAGTGAATCAAAATCTCCATTGATTTCATTATTTTTTTAATACCTAAAAAATGGCAACCATTTTCATGGGATTTCAGCAAGACATTTACATAAAATAACTGGGTCTTAAATTTTGACTCTGATATAAAATGTATACATAGTTGTATTAGATGATCTGGGTACCAGTGGTCTACTTAAAACTCAATATCTGCCATGGCTGGTGTTGCTCAGTAGGTTGAGTGCCAGCCTGTGAACCAAGAGGTCGCTGATTTGACTCCCAGTCAGGGCACATGCCTAGGTTGCTGGCCAGGTCCCCAGCAGGGGGCGTGCGAGAGACAACCACACACTGACGTTTCCCTCTCTTCCTCTCTTCCCCTCATTCTAAAAATAAAAATAAATAAAATCTTTTTTTAAAAAAGAAAGAGGAAAGCTGGGGCAAAGAATTAACTAACTCATCATTAAAAAAAAACACCTCAATATCTTATTATGGTGTTTGATCCTTTAAGAGACAATAAAAATGGCTGTGAAAACAACCTGTGTCTATGAGGAATATATTTAATATAAATTCTTTCATTATGAACATTTTATAGCCTTAGTGTATATTTATCATTGGTTTAAACTGCACATACCAGTCAAGTATAGTTAAAAGGTCAGTACTTCTGCTTTATATTAACTGTTATATTTACTTACATCTATGAGGGCATATTTGACATGCAAGGTGTATAAAATACATGTTCAAATATTGGAAGTCTGGTACACCTCACTGTGTTTTGGAATTAAATTTAATACTCATGTTTATACCAGAATCATACAACTGGTATGCAAATATAGTAGCTTCTGTTAGAATAGGAAACCTATTCTTTAGGTTAAGATTCCTCTGCTAAAAGTATCAAATTAGATGATACTAATAGGCTGAGATTCAAAGATAATGAGAATGAAAATTACTCTCTCATAA